TAATGAGGGATCTAGATTATTAAACAAATAATTTGTTTAATAATCTGGATCCTTTATTGGATTTCAGAATATTAAACAGATTTTTCTTAATTGAAAATAGAAAATAATAGAAAATAATTAATTTATTGCACATATTAAAATATTCTGATGTCGAATGTATGTAAAATAATTATATGTAATATTATTGAGATAAATATTTAAGAAACATCTAATAAAAACACTAATAGATGTTTTTTTAAAGGCATTTTTTCCTATCTTTCTGAAACACGGCTTTTTATATTTTCAAAGTTTATTTATTAAATTTAAAACGGTGTCTGCATTTGTAGCAAAACGCGTTTTAATATTACAAATACGTTGCACCGTAACATTGCTGCAATATTGCATTGCAATATTTCTACAAGCGGACATTTTACCGCTGCTGCAATATTGCAGCAACGTTGCAGCAATATTTTGCAACATTTCTGCAATGTTGCAATCTTGCAAAGAAATATTTCTGCAATGTTGCTGCAATATTTCTGTGCCGTATGGGAATCCATGATACTTAGTTTCTAGTTTTTATTAAAACATTTATAAGAAATTTAATAAGAAATACATTATAATCCATGACTTTCCAGTTTTAATAAGAAATACATAATCCATGATACTTTCCAATTTTAATAAGAAATACATTATAATCCATGATAGTTTCTAGTTTTTATTATCTAATATTTAATTTTTATTTCAGTTTATAATTATCTAATATTTAATATCTAATTTATAATTATTTAATATTTAATATCTAATTTATAATTACCTATTATCTAATATTTAATTTTTATTTCAGTTTGAACGATACGTGTATATATATAATGTGTTTCTAATATCCCAACCAGCAGAGAATGTTTTGTAAATATATTTTTAATATTTATTATTCATTAATTGTACATTTGTACAATTTATTACAAATATAATATTTATTTAATGTTTATTTAATATTTATTTTTTATGAAACATTCGTTTAAAATAGCAATTTAGAGAAAATATTAATGTTTATTTAATATTTATTTAATATATATTTTTACATTTGCGTTAACATTACTTTTTGTTTTCAATAATGATTTTAAAAAATATTTATGTGATGCTTATTTAATTTCTATTTTATATTAATTATACCAAATATAATATAATTTATTAAAATATTTATTTAACAATTATTAAACATTAATTTAATATTTATTTGGGTGGGCTATAGTATACGTTGCGCATACTATAAATAAATGCGCGCATATGCGTGAAACGGAACGCAGCCAATTAATATTCACCATCATCAAATATAAAATATTTTTATAATCATAATTAAATTTCCTGCAAAGACACAACAGTAGTCAAAAGACACAACAGTAGTGTCTTGTGCTAAGTCCACGCAAACAACAATCATAAGACGCGTCTTATATTGTATTAGTATTAAACAATAAAAATTTAAGTTAGCATGTATATCAGTAGTAAATTTTATTTATATTATAGATTATAGAATAAACCTATATAAAACAATATTTTTTCAACGTTAAATATGTATTTCTTAATTATTGAAAAAACATTTTAAATACATTTATTTAATAATAAATATACGTTTTCTAAACATTAAAAATATATATTCAACCGTTTTAAAATAAATATTTATCAAATATTAATAAAACATTTTTTCAAATGTTAAAATAAATATTTTTGTAATGAATAAAAGAGGACTTAACCCATGATTTAAACGTTTTTAAAAATGTTTTTAAAAACATTTTTCAAACATTTTTAAAAACATTGCCTGCTGAATGGGATTATTGTATTTAAATTTAAATTTCTTATGAATATTTTAATATATATATATATATATATATATATATATATATATATATAATCTCAGCTATTATGAAACATTCAAAAATATTAAATCGTTTTTGCAGTATCTCAACTTTCAATTCGATTCAATAGGTAACTGTTCAGCTCAGATGTCAAATCGATCTTAAACTGACATTATACTTGTGTCTTTCTTTCTCAATTTAAATTTTGATTATGCTATCTTAATAGTAGTTGATTATTTTTCATATTATTTAAATCTTCTTTAAAAAAATTTATGAAAATAGATAAAAAAATACACCCGCCAAGTATTTTATAAAGAATATCCAACTGATGTGTGTATATATTAAATAAGAAAATTTAAACAAATAACAAATTATTAAACAATGTTAAAAATGAATTATTTAAAAAATTAATTATACGTTATCAATTTATAATTGACGCTGATTATAAATAAGATTTTAAGACATTAATTCGCAACAATATGTTTTTTATATAATATATATGTGTGTGTATAATTTCTTGCAAATTCTTTCTTTGCATAAAATAAATTTAAATTAAAATAAAAAATAAAAATGTGATATATTTAGATCACATTAAGACATAATATTATTTTATTTACATATATGAGACATTATATAATCACAAATAAAATCACATCCATTATACTACATTATTATATTACATTATTATTATTATGTACAATAAAATATTTTTATGTATTTATTCGGATAAAGCAAGATTATACAGGTACATTAGACATTTTAATAACTTAATTGAAATCATGAATAATTTGTTTGAATTGATTTGAAAAAATTGGAATATATTAACGACAAAAGGTTACAATTAGTACTATAAATCAATATTTAACACTATTATTAGATGTAATCATTCTTTACGTATGTATGTGTTTTATTTTGTTAAATATTTTAATGTGTGTAACAAGAAGTGATTACATCTTTCGTTATATTCTTTCGCAAGTTATTTTTAGAACGACAGCTATTGTTATTCAATAGATATGTATATATGTGTATATATATATATGAGTGTTTGCTCATCCATTCATCTTTTATCTCTTACATTAGTGATGCTTTGAAAGAAAAAATATATGAGTTTGATTGAAATAAGATAAGAGAAATTATCACTTTTAAAATGAATTAAATCTCGAAATTTTATGATTGTATCACTTTGATTCGAATCGATTAAAAATCAACATTATGTAAGAAAGATGCTATTAAATTTTTTATTATAGCTTTATATATAATTCTAGATATATTTTAATTGAAAATATATTTGTGAAAATATATTTGTGAAAATATATTTATGAAAATATATTTGTGAAATATTCAGATAATTTTAATTTTTTTAATGGCTACTTTAATTTGAAATGATATGCATTTTGGAATATGCAAAATCAATATATGCACGTCAATTATTTTTTATTGTATTTAATGTCATGCTATTGCGTCGTATCGTAATAACTCATGTATTACTAAGATATAACTCATCTACCACTTTGTGTCTAAAACCGCACGACACGTGCAATTATTGCTACATTGTTTCATCACGAAAGTTTAATTCTTCGCTATTAAATGGAAAGTGTCTGACTGCAATCGGAGTTATTTTGCACTTAACTGAGAGATCTTAAACAAAGTAGGATAACATATTGTATTATCATATTATACGCCATTTTATCACAATTTTCATGATTTAACAAAACAAGAATAATCAAGTTACTATGTGTTTATTAAAATGTACAAATGAAAATTAAGGCATTTATATACATTTCTTTTACATTGTATATAAAAAGAAATATAACAAAGGATGTATTGACGAAAAAATTGATTTGCTCTGCATTCTTATTGTCGAACGTTGTGAAACCGCGTAAAAATGCTATACACGCAAATATTACGAAGAGTAAAGTTAATCTGAATATGTACTTTAAGCTATGTTGCATTAATACATTCTGTTTTTTTCATAAAACTACTTGAGGAAGCCATTTTTTGCAGGCTTATGTGCTGCAAAATATAAACTTGTTCATATTCTACGTAAAGAATTTAAAAAGAAGACTTAAAAAGAATCTATCTTTTTATTTTCATAGGCCAAATGCTTTTGATGTAGATTCTCTCAATTAAATATAAATATAAATACATATATATCGATATTTCATATATAAATTATTATGGTATTTCAATGTACATAAGTTTAATACTTTTAATATGTGTACCCAGCAAACACTAAATAACAGTTATATAACTGTTAGTTATAATTTCTCCCTCAACAATGTAACAGTTACATAACATGTAACAGTTATATTGTTGAGTGGGAAATTACAACTAACAATTATATAAATGTTACTTGGTATTTGCTGGGTATGTGTTATGTTTTATTTTATTACATACTTTATTAATGAATATACAATTATTTTATCACATACTTTATTAATAAATATACAATTTCTCTGCATATTTACTCATAATTATAAATATTTTAAAATTTACTCCCCTTAGAATAGTGTTCGATCGATCGATCAGGAAGAGAAATTTTTTTATCCTGATTGGTCAATTTAAATACTACTCTACTCTAAGGAGAAAATTTTGAAACGTAACAGCAGCGGAACGCAATTAACACGCTACATAAATAACTTCCGTGTTACTCGTTTCAATGTTGTTGGCTGGTAAGACGTGGACTCCGCACTTTAACACCATGCAACTCTTTCTAATAGCATTCAACATTCACCAAGTATTTACGAATATCATCGAAAGGCGTCTGATAATTAATTGTGAGTAGGCTGGATTTTTTTGCGTGAAGTGATAGTTAATACAGTAATGTAGATACAAAGCACAAAAATTCTGGTGGATCTAAGTGGGCAATAAAGGTAGATTATACATATAGAGTGAGTGGAAAATAAATGTATATATTTATTAATGGATTTTCAAAGATGAAAAAAAGAAATTAAACAGCAAAATTTCTACAACAGATTATTTACAATTATTAGAAATTTTGCGCGACCGATTAATGACATTTCTTATTCAACCAAGCACGTTAATGTTACGTCACGCATGCGCGAAAACACACGGTCTAAACATTGTAGCTACTATTTGATTGCTATATCCGTATATATATGTATATATATATACATAGTAATAGCGTTCGTTTCTCATTTGGTGGGGGAAATATATGTTCATGATCTGACGACCATTAAGCAACTTCGAGCGAATCGCTTGTACCGGCTACAGCTTCGTTGTCGACTATCCACGTGGCAATTTAGGCAAAAAGGTTTCCAGCAAAAAGTGTCATTTACATTCATCGAAAAATACCGTTATAGAGCAATGGCATCACACGTAACGGATTTCTATAATGGCAAGAGTGTATTTATTACTGGTGGCACCGGATTCGTCGGTATCTGCTTAATAGAAAAACTCCTGAGATGTTGCCACGGCGTCAAAAATATTTATCTGCTAATACGACCAAAAAAGGGAAAAGAAATCACGGAAAGACTGGAGGAATTGACGAAGAATTCGGTAATTACCATATCCATACCAAAGATGTCAAACTCAGGTCTTTTCATTTTTTTATTTTTTTTTATTTTTCATTTTTACTCGATACTATGTTTATATTTCATTTATTATTCTTTGTATTTTAATTGTAACTTTTTTGTATAGGTCTTTAATAGAATGAGGGAGGAAAAGCAAACTGATTTGTTTAAGAAACTAATCGCAGTTAGCGGAGATGTTGGCGAAGAAAATTTAGGATTGTCGTTGGAAGATCGAACAACTTTGATAAATAATGTACAAATTGTTTTTCATTCTGCTGCTACATTAGACTTTGAAGCCGATCTGAAGAATACAACAAATATTAATTTGTTAGGAACTCGTAGAATTGTTGAACTCTGCCAGGAAATTAAGAACTTTAAGGTGAATGTAATATTTACTGTGGACAAAGATATATTTTGCAGAAAAATTGCATATTACATTATATATATTTTTTTTTATCAATTTATTTCACCAATTTATCTTATAACTTTTATTATATTTAATATTTAGGTGCTGGTTCATGTCTCTAGTGCATATGTTAATTCAACATTATATGATGTTGATGAGATAATATATCCTGCGCCTGCAGATGTAAATACATTTTTGAAATTGGTTAAGTCTTTGGATACAGCTGCCTTAGATACAAAAACACCAGAGATATTAAAAGATCATCCAAATCCTTATACATTCACTAAACATTTGGCTGAACATGAAGTGCTAAATGGAGGAATTCCAGCATCTATTGTACGTCCTTCGATGAGTAAGTTTATGCTTGCTTATCCAACATATATTATTATTTATATTATAATCTTAAATCTTATTTTATATATTTAGTAATAGGAGCATGGCAAGAACCAGTTCCAGGATGGACAATATCAAAAAATGGACCACAAGGTTTCTTAATGGGTGCTAGTAAGGGTATTGTAAGAAGATTGCCAATTGGAGAAAATCTTGTTTATGATTACATTCCAGTAGATATAGTAGTGAATAATCTTATTGTTGCGGCTTATAATGTTGATCGGGATAGGTAATTCTAAATACAAAAATTTTATGCATTTTTTACGAAAATATAGTGATTTTATTTAATGTTAAAATATAGTGATTTTATTTAATGTTAATAATTATTTCGGAAATAATGTATAATTTTAGCGACAAAGGATTAAAGGTATATCACTGTACATCTAGTACCTGCAATGCTTTCAAATGGCAAGATGTTAATGAGGAAATTAACAAGTATTTACATAAATATCCATTACGAAGTGCTGTTTGGTATCCATATCTCAAATTTTTACCATCGCTTTTCTTGTTTAAAATTTCGGCCATCTTTGTTCATTTTATTCCTGCTTATATTTTGGATACAATTACACGATTATGTGGAGGTCGTCCGATGTAAGTTTTATTTTGAGATGAACAGTTATATATCATATACATAACAGTTATATATCATATAAATATATCTTGTTATAAAATTTTTTTAAATTTAATTATAATATTTATTATGTTTTTTAGTTTGGTTCGTTTACATACAAATGTTAACAAATCGTTAGGACGTCTTGAGAAATTTATTTTCCAAGAATGGAGATTTAATAATCCATGTATGTTACAATTGCATGAATCATTATCTCCAGATGATCAAAAATTATTTACATTAGACATCAAGTCATTGATCTGGAAAGACTACATGCTGGATTTGATACTAGGTGTTAGAGTGTATCTTCATAATGAGTCACCGAAATCTTTACCGAAAGCACGTTCTAAGGATAAAATGTAAGCAAATATAAAACATTTTTCTTAAGCAGGATTAAATACTAGTTATTATGTAAACATGCATTTATATATATATATTATATTCCAGATTGATGATTGCTCATTTGGGTTTACAAGCTGCTCTATTAGGTCTGATCTGGTGGTTGGTTAAAATTTTGTTTGCTTCAACATGGACAAAAACTGGTTTAATTGTACCAATAACATATTTACTCTTTGATCAATTATAAGCAACATTTAAATAAGCCCATTTTCAGTTGAGTAAATCAATAATATCGAATATAAAATTAATATATAATTAATATACAATTTATTTACGCAAACAGAGGCACATAAATATTGTCATTATATAAATTTTTATATAAATATCCTGTCTTTTTATATATTTAATACAATTATCAAATGTTTTTGCATTTTATATTTAAACTTTGGATATGTTCTTTCTCTTTATAAATATCTAGAACACTTAAAATTGATTTAATTCACATATTGCTTAGGAGCATATTGATAACATTATGTGCTGTTACATTATAGATTATTTAGAAGAGATAGAGCTGGATAATATTTGGAAACGTCGATTTATTTATATAAACACGATAATAATATTAAAGGAGTTGCTCTATAGAAGTTTAAGGAGTGAAAACATCTGAAATATTCAAAACAATTTAAATTAAAAAGATATTCATTAAATTCGAAAGAATTAAAATATTTATAACAAGTGTTTATGTTACACGAAGTTCAATATTGTTCAATGTTGTGATTATTCCTTCAAATAAAATGTAATGGTATTTCTGAAGTCGAATAGTAAAATATATTGGAATATTTTTTATAATTTAAAATACTTATATACATAAACTACTGATGAAACGCATATAATATATGGTATATGTTAGGTATCTTTCCTTTTCCTGTTTGATCAAAATTATCATAAATTATTATAAACTTTTCCAGTTATTTATTATACTATATTATATAACTCTTTATTAATTTCTTGCCCCCAGTTATTTATTTATTATATTATATAACTTTATTAATTTTTGTAGGATCATGCTATCATGGGTTCATGCTATTTTAAGGACAAGTATTTTTATATTAAAAAATTATTTAAATTTATATATTTTTTTTAATTCATAAATATTTATTTTATTATTCAATGTTATTATTATTCAGTACTATTATTTTATTATTCAATGTTTAATTTTAGCTGATCAGAAAGATAATGAAATAGTTTATAGAGCAATAATATCCGTTTCATCTTATAATAACAATAAAAACCTATTATAACATGAATAAGATATATAATCAATAATACAAATATCTATGTATAATATTAATTTTAGTTCTACAAGGTAACATTGATATACATATAGGATGCTTCGCTCCTTAATCTTTTTAGAATTTTTAAGTATATTATCATCAACTTATTATATTATCATATATTTTAGCGCCATATAAGTATATATTTTTTATACTTTTAATGCAGTAAATAATGGTGATGGATGTCATAGATATTTATCAAAAAATATTTAAATTGTTTACAATATTGTAGCATTTTATTTGCGTTATTCATATGTGAGTGTGTGTGTGTGTGTGCGCGCGCGCGCGCGCGTGTGTGTGTGTGCGTGCGTGTGTGCGTATATGTATCAATACATGAATCAAAGTCCAGAACAGTCAAATATTTCCGAAAGTATTTGCCAAAAAAATATTTCAAATAAAAGTTATAGAGAAATCCAACTTTAAATGATGGAATAGTTGAATAATTAAAGTATTATTTTGATTTCGAATCACTTTATCAACATATGAAGTTAAAGAATTTTTTTATAAAAATTTCATTTTTATTGCATTTTCTTATAGTTGATGTCGAAATGCTTTTTCAAAATAGTATGATTAAATTTTCTTTTGTTAAGAATTTCTTGTCATATGCATAACATAAATAGATAAATTCTATCGTGTGCTTTCTACATAGACGCATATTGGATGTTGGATCACCAATATTAGCATTGAATCAGATGAATATAATTTAGATGAATATTTTCATGAACCACGTAACCTACACATTATTCGCGAATATATGTCCGTCTAAGGAACAATTCTGATTGAATGTGAAATTTCTTTTTTCATTAAACATCAGAAAAAATAGTATAGAACTTTTCGACTCATTTTTCATAACCAATTCTCAGTATTTGTCTCACTCTGTAAGATTGTGTTGTGATATTTTCTTAAAGTATTTTCTTAAAGTTTCAGATATTGATTTTTTACAATAGAGAGAGAGAGAGAGAAAGAGAGAGATCATTCAAAATATATACATTATTTTAATCAAAATTATAATTTTTACAAATCCTGTAATGTACTTATTATATAAAATTTGCTTTTTAACCGAGTTCTTAGAAAATTTTTTTACATACATATATGAATAAATATATTTGCTATAATAATTTGTGTAATTTAAAAATTATATGGAAATTGCATCTTTGATAAAACAAGAAAAAATATTTAAATGCATTATTTGTACCTTGGTATTACGTCAAGGTAGAACTTTAGTTTTTTATTAAGAAAACTTTTTTGTTGCACTTTGATTAAAATCAAACTAGATTATTTTACAAGTTTTAAATCCAAACAATAATAAATTATATAGAATAAGACAAGTTTGGTACCTATTATATGTAAATTAACGCTTTTTTTCTTCTTTTTTTTCCTTTTTAATGCATCTGATTGTAAAACATACACATACAACTATGGCTTGTTTGAGAGTATTTGCTATTATAATGATTATATGAATCATAGTGAGATGACGTAAAATCACGTAAGTTTTTTTATCAGAAATAAATTGCATTTAAATATAAATTAATTTTCTCATATACATTCAATTTTAATTATGTGTATTCAATGAATATAAATTGATAAAATATACTAATGTATATAAATTAAAATATTAATGAATTAAAAAGTAAGTTTAAATGTTGGCCAATTGTTATAAGAATTCATTTTCTAGAAGGATATATACATTTATTCTTTGCCAATGTAAAGTTGTTAAAAAGAAATTTTCATCAGATTTTATCAATAACTTTAACATATAAAAGAAATATATCAGTAATATCTTTCATCTCGGTTCCTTGATATTCCTGTTTTATGGAAAAAACTGTTAAAAAAAATAAACGCAAACAAATAAAACAGGATCATAATTTATACATTACAATTTATGCAACACAATAAAAATGCAAGTGTCGTATACACTGTAAATTGATTCTTAAGTAGATTAACTTTTATTATATTGAGAGAAGATATGCACAACGCTGAGACACTGAATAATAAAGATTAAAGTCTAAAACAAAAATCGTTACTTTGTATGTTGTAAATTTTGAAATTTCGGGATTAATTGTAGCAATTTTATTCAAATTCTGTTCGCAATTGAGTGATGTTAGATTTTTTACTTATAGCTACAATAGATATTTTGATTGAAAGAGCAAATTCTCTCATTTAGAATCAGAATTTTTAAAAAATGCCTCGATGACTATGTGAACATAATCTCACGGTTAATCTTTTTTATGTGGAATATCACATTACCTTCATAATAAATACAGCAGAATTTATATAGATACCATATCATATCTAATGAATTAAAAACCAGTTAAGAATTTAAAATAAGAAAATATATATTAAACTATGCAGAAATATGCAAAAGTGATAGATATGTACACATCATATGCACAGGATGTGTACATAAATTATGTACGCAAATCATGGTTATGAACATTTAAATTTTGCTCAGGATACTAAGATTTAATCTCAATTAGCAGAAAAAAAAATATTTTTTATCAATACAGGAAAAATGTTATAAAAATAACAATTGTGCATTGGAGGTTAATTAATTTTTTCTATATTAATATATAGAGAAGAATTTTATATATGTTATTATTGAAAAAATTATATTTCCGAAAGATTATATATAATTCAAGATTATATAATCCAAATAATCTTGGATCTAAAATAATGCAAATTTTTTGAAAATATATTTATAAATCAATTTATATATAATTAAGTAAATAGCCAAAAAACAAAAAAAAATAAACTGTTTTTGGAAGATTTCGTATTAATGTTAATCACATTAAATATTGTCACTTTCCAATGACAACGTTGGTAAAAATATATAATTGATTGATATAAGCGATGTCAAAGAAAAGAAAAGAAACAGAGAGAGGGAGCGAGACAGAGAGAGAGAAAGAGAGAGATTATGCACGTGTGTGTCGATGTAAAATTATAAATAAACATCAAACAAATAAATATGAAAACATAAAAATTAAACATTGAACATTAAATATTGAATCATTTTAAATTTGAATTTATAATCCCTTAAATATTAAATAATTTGTTAATTATATCTATAATACAGATTGAATACATAATGAAATTAGAATTTTAGTTTTGATTTTAATGCTTTGCGCTTTTTATTATACAATCTGCTGTTCAAAAACAATTAAGCATGATGATTTTATTATTCGTTCATAACATTTGATATTTTCAGAAACGGTTTTTATGGTTTCGTGTCATTAAAACTAAATCGAAATTTTTATTAGTTTGATCACAGAATTTGTTCGAGTCTTTTGTGTTCGAAAATTAATTTGTAATAAAAAAATAGTTTATATATATATATATATATATATATATATATATATATATATACATATATATACAGAGCGTCCCAAAACTCATAATCAATTTTTTAAAGACAGATTCCTGGGATCATCTGAAGACGATTTTTTCTCAACGAAAATGTCGAGGCACTAATAATTTTCGAATTATAAGTGATTGGAAATAAGGGGTTTTTCGTAAACTAAGCTTTGTAGAAATAAAATATTAACGAAACCACATTCTTCGATTAATTTTAAATAGAGTTTACTTTGAGTTGAGTTGAGTTTTAATTTGAGGCTTAATTGCAAAGAAATATATGACAAAAGTCGGGAACATGCAAAAAATGATGACCTTCATTGACATTTTCGCTGAGGAAAAATCGTCTCCAAATGATCCCAGGAATCTGTTTTTGAAAGATTGATTATGAGTTTCGGGACACCCTGTATATATATATATATATATATATATATATATATATATATATATATATATATATAATGTGACATCCGATTATATGAATATATCTTAAATATATAAGTTTAATGTCCTAAGAAGGATTATAAGATAAAAAAATCTTCTTTATTGCAGAAATCAAAGAACAACATCTTGGTTGGCCGCTATTTGTGTACCAAGCATACTCCCAAGGTCGCGGGGAATCATTGGGAAGGCCCGAAAGAATTCATTGTTCTTTTTACTGCCGAGTAGTGATGTCATAAATCTCAACTTGAATGCAAAATTATTTCCATATGTAAATATGAATGAAGGTGCATTGTATTTTCGTTAAAATGGACTCGAATATTAAATGATTCGTTGCTCAATCTTGATGAAATTTCTAGAAAACTACTTATTTAAATAAGTAAGAAAAACTGAAGCCTCCTCATACGAGATGATTGAGAGGAATGGGACTCACTCCCATCGCTAAATTATACGAAGGAGGAGAGGGAAGTAAGAGGAAATTTGCGAGACCCTGAGAGAACTCGCTGCCGCCCTCGAGTCTACTGAACCTTTACTGGACGAAGGCAAAATTACAAGAAAGTCTCAGGAATGACCACGCCATCAACCGTATAACAGGGATAAAGCTATGGTCTTGTCGTATTAGCATTCAGTCTGTTCCAACAGTTCTTACGATATGGAACAATAAGAGAAAATTCTCTTCCAAGTGGCATTTAACTCTTCCCAATAGTGTTCGCTCTTTCAGTGTAAAATATTTTAAAAATTCGGATCATTGAATTTCTCCCTGCCTGGTCTCGCTGAAAAATTTTTGCGAATTTTCCAAGACGCTCAATATAGTAAGTATGTATATCGATATAAATATACCAAAGCCAACGAACATATTTAATAGTTTGAGTAGTATTATTCTAAAGAATTAGAGAAAATAAAACAATTGTAATTTTACAAGTTGCAATTTTTTACAAGCATCTGATGACATGTGACTTTGTGTAATTGCTGCTACGTTCTTTTCTGCTTAGTTTCTTTTTTATTTTCCTCCATAATAATAATATGTATTTGCTTGTCTTATCTTAGTTTTTATAATAATTTAAGTTAAATAATTAAATATATAATTGATACATTGTGACTGAAATTCTCCAAATGGGATAGGTTATACATATTTACGATTAATGAATTTGATTGATAAGTAGAAATGAATATTTTTATCAATTATAAAAACTAGAAATGTGTTTTTATCAATCATAAAAACAGAAAAAGAAAGAAAGAGATAATCATTATGTCGAATATTAATAAAATAGAACTATAATGAAACCATATACATATATATAACCCTAACAAGACGCATGTCCAAAAGATGTCCAGAGATCATCGAGAAGACATCCAGAGGACAAAATATCCTTTGGCTGTCCTCCAGATATTCTATGAACGTCTTTTGGACATATATGTTGTTAGAGAAATGTTCGTTTCAAGCTGCGAATTTTCTTTGATAATTACAAATAAAAATATAACATAAATAAACATCTTATAAAATAAAGAATAAGAGAGAAGTAAAGAATTCCATACGAATTCTTAAACTTATAGAATTATAAAATTATTCAAATTAATTATTAAAATTCTTAAAATTATAAATAAGTAAGATTTCAAAGAATGCGAATCATAATTTTTTATCGATTTTTTTCTTTTTTTTTTTTTGATGTGTAAATAGTTAGTTTACATCTTTTTCAGCTTTTTCGAAAAATGGCCACAAAATCGATACCTGACTGGTTTTCCAAGAAAAATATTCTCATCACAGGAAGTACCGGATTCATGGGAAAAGTTTTAATCTCGAAACTACTACTTAGCTGTCCCGATATTGGTGATATGTTTTTATTAATCAGAAGAAAGAAAGGCATTGACTCGCAAGCAAGGTTACATCTCATATTACAGGTATCGTAATAAGCTTAATTATTTATTTAGAAAAAGAAAAAGAGGGAGAAAATAAATGAATAGATAAAAGAAGTTATTTGGAAATACAAGGAAAAGAATGTTGCAGTTTTATTTAAGAAAAAACTAATTGTCATATAAAATTTATAATTATTATACATTCATTTGCGATCTATTATGCATGATTGGAATTTAAAACATGATCTAGACACTATACACGACTATATACGATTATACTGATGGTGAGCTGCAAATGCATGAACATAAATTTACATAACATGATACAAATGATACAAATCATCTTCTGCATTTCATTATTCAAATTAATTGCTTAAGTATTTAACATTAATTTAATTAAATATATCCATCCATTTTTTGTTACTCATGTACAATTATGCCTAATTATCTTACAAATTAATTCATTTTTTTAATAGTACCATAGTAGCGATTAAAATCAAATATTTATAAAAAAGAAATCTGTCTTACAGCTATATTCGAACGATTAATTAAAGATTTAAAAATAAGAATTTACAGAGATATGTTAATTATTTATTTAAATATCGCATTATAAATCTTAAAATTTTCTATATTTTCTTTTGATCCTTTTTTATAAATTTTTTATAAATCTTTTGGAAATTAATTTGATAACATCTTAATAAATATCTAAATGAAAGAATTGCTATAAAGCTTATGTACATTCTGTTATCCTTATTGAATTTCGATATATTATATATAGGGTATTTCGATATATTATATATACAGGGTGTCCCAAAACTCATAATCAATCTTTCAAAGACAGATTATTCCTGGGATTATTGGCAGACGATTTTTCCTCAGCAAAAATGTCAATGAAGGCCATCATTTTTTGCATGTTCCCGATTTTTGTCATTATATATTTTTGCAATTAAACTTTAAATTAACTAAAGTAAATTCTATTTAAAATTAATCGAAGAATGTGGTTTTATTAATATTTTATTTCTACAAAGCTTAGTTTACGAAAAACCTCTTATTTCCAATCACTTATAATTCGAAAATTATTAATACTTCGACATTTTCGTTGAGGAAAAATCATCTTCAGATGATCCCAGGAATCTGTCTTTGAAAAATTGATTATGAGTTTCGGGACACCCTGTATATTAAATCTTCGAAAAAAATATACTAAAATAAAAGCTACTTAAATTTAATCACACAACACGAGAGTTCTCATTGTATTATCTATTTATATCTCCAAAATGCGAGTTGCAGTTAATCCAAAGTAAGATAGTATTGTAATTGAAGAAAAGAAATTAACTTTCGGAAAATTAAAATCTTGAGAATAGACGCGATATACCTTGCATTAATACATTATGCAAAACTTTTTTTATTTTATATTATTCGTTATTCTATTGCTGGTATGAGCAAAACAAACACATAGTATTGAATTATCAGTGTAAGCGAAAACACCTTGACGTAAATGTACATACACACAAATATATGCGTCAAGGTGGCTAATAGAACGGACCGCATTACGATCTCTTTGGCGAATGCGCTGTCGTTAAAATAACTTCGATCGACGATGAAGCAACATGCAATAGACACGCAATAGACCTTTCCTGGCATTATTCCCTCGAACCAACGATTTATTATAATTCTAATTTTTCTTTTCACGCATTATATTGTAGCTTTCATAATGACTTCATCCGTTGAAGGTGTCGAATATTACGACATTAAACGCGGCGACATAGAATGCAATTGCTTTTTTAAATTTTATTAGAGTCATGCTTTTTATAAAGAATAACGGAAGGCATTAATATTAGCGATGTGACAATTGAATAATCTGATCGTATCACAAAGTATAGGAAAACAATGCATAGCATAATCGATATTTCATTATTTTCTTTGTCTTTATCTCTTGTTCATTGAACTTTTTATTTTATCATGTGTACAGCTGGTTCATAATTTATTTCAATAATACATAGTAGACCGCATTGTTTACAGAAAATATAAATATTCTTAAATTTTAATAAACATTAAAATTGATCGAATAAAATGTACGCGGAATCGATAATAATTGATATATGCTTAAAATAATTATATTATATTCAATGAATTAGATGATTTAGATGAATTGAATCATCGCGAATTGCCTTGACATCAATCATATCTTCAGAAATTTTCAAATTACTTCATCATATTTCCGAGTGTTTCGAAAGACTTTCAAAACTTTTGATGTGTAAAGATTTGCTAAGCAATTTTATCCTTGAATTATGTGAACACGCGTCGGAAAATCGGAAAATGTTTCTGAGAAACTGCATTATAATTCGTTTTCTAGAAGGTATTGGAAAGTAATCGTTTCCAATGTATCATCGTATTTTTCCATCGTGGATTTTTCATCGGATTATTTGAACAAAAGAGCTAATCATGTAGAGCTATGCTAGAGGTTATTATTGTTATTATTATTTGGATAAAAATGAAACAATTATAAAAACATCTTATTATGCTCGTAAATCTGTTTACACCAATCACTTCGACCTATTCATCTACCGAATACGATTCATGATCAAATGTCTGTTAATTGTAACTTGGAATAGTCAATTTTATATATGTACATTACACACACATACATGTACATATAGTGAGATATAGCCAGCAAAAATAATCTTTTTAACGTCAAATGATGATAAATTAGTTTTCTGTAATTGGTTGATTTATGCGAAAAGTACTGATCAAAATTTTTTCTTTTTTCTTAAGAAGGATTACTAAATATTTCATTCTCTATCTTGATTAATTACACCTTCGAAAACTTTAGCAATAAACAATAACACATCATATGTCATGTTAAGTTTTTTATTTTTTTTTATAACTATTTCTTTTACACACTTTTTTCTGAAATTATGAATTATTTTTGAAACAGTGCTTTTAGCAGTTTTAAATAGATATAAAAAAAATAAAAATTTATTATACGAAAGAAGCATAATGTAGTTTTTATTAAATATTCAAAATATATTTTATCAAACTTTATATAGTAATTCGCCTCTTTCGAAAGTGCAAACACCTATATAACATTATTATTAATATTGCAAAATATTGCAAATAATTTATCCGATGTTGCGGTGTAACTTTTAAAATATTCATTTAATTTATTTAAAAAGTTGTTCTAAATGTTTATTTATTTCAAATGTTTACTTAAGTAAATTTCAGAAAAGGAAAAATATGCAGTGAAAAAAGGATAGTCTTGCAGGACACTCAATAGAGTCTTTCTTGCCAATGATCAAGAATTACTGAGTGCATTGTATAATATGAACAAATTTTATCCTTGGAAAGACACAAATTAATTTCTTTCGTGTAGCAAGACATATCTATAAGTGATGATTTTTAATAATTTCCGTAATCATTGTATCGACGTAACTCTCTAGCAATTAAGATATGATTCTCTAATTCCGAAATTACATTTGATAGAAATCGCTTAATCTCAGTGCGACTTTAATGATTTAATGGCACAATAAGAGTTCTAGCGGTTTGCTTAAAGTCCTTGTGAGAAGCGTGCTTGGCTTTTATTAATTTTTCACAAGATTTTTCACAAAAAACGTATAAAATGTCGTCCTCTATTATCTATATCAGGTTTTTAATATTTTAAACCGAACTCGAACGTTTAAAAATTCCAAAAATAATATAACTTATATCACAATTTTCACACTTTTATTGATATATTTGAAATTTAAAGAATACGAGCAAATTTTGATTTTCCTTGTGAATTTTTAGATTTTAACTCAATACAAAGAAAAGTTTTTGAATATATATTTATATGAATTTTTTTTCTTTTGATCTTTATAACATGCTTTTAATGTGATAAAGTTTTTATTAATATTTTGTATAATAATTATTAAAAAAGTCATTAAAGCATTAAATCTTGGAAATCCTAATGTATATTTTGTAAAAAAAGTGTGTTTTATCAAAAATTATCTATTTTTTAAACTTTCTATTGTACAACTACAATCTATTGTATACAATTAAAATTATATTTTCTGTGTAATATCACATAAAAATTGAAATATTCCATAAGAGCTCCAATAAAATTGTTTCTAAAGAGTTTAAAGTTTTTTAAAAATTAAGAAAATTCAGGATATATTTCTAAAGAGTTTAAAGAATTTTAGATCATACTGAAGAACTGTAAAAATGTGGAAGTATCTGTTAGAAAAAGGAAAAAGACTTTAAAGACTAATGGAAATTATATTTACAGCAAGAGCCGTTTAGGATCCTCAGAGAAAAATATCCAGAACGACTAAAGAAATTGATACCAATCAATGGTGATATGATCGTGGACGGACTCTCTTTATCCGACACGGACAAGGAACGTCTCACGAGCAAAGTTTCTATCGTCTTTAACATGGCTGCTAATGTCAGGTTCGATCTATCGTTGAAAATTGCAGTCAAGACTAATACTGTGGGCACTATAAACATTGTGGCGTTAGCAAAACAGGTGAATGCTCGCTATAAATTTATATATATGTCAAAGATTGCAAGTCCACGTTTTAACAAGCAGAGTATGATCAATACGTCATAATGTTAAAATCATTTTTTAATGTCGCCAACTATTTGTCAGAATGCAATCTATAAACTACGCATTCCAACTAAGAGACGATCAATAGAAAGCTTTGATGAGTGTAATCTTCTCTATTTATGTATCTCCATCTACAGTTGAGTTAAAAAGAGACAGATTACACATCCTTGAGAAACATTGCCCTCTCTTTCTGAAATAAACACCGATTAAGATAGGTGATATACAATTTTTACTTATAATTAGTATACCTATGTGTAAGTGTAAACTGGTATAATCACATAGATTGAATTTTCTTCGTTATTTATTATGCAAAAATTGTGTCCACAAACATTGATTAAGCGAATAAGATTAAAATTTTATTTATCGTTAGAATAAGAAATTTTACTTAGGTAGTACTGAAGTGAAAATTATAGTGGAATATAGTATTACGCGTAATACTATATCGTTGCAATTTCGTATCTTTAAATAGTAGTCTTTTTTTCGCTCTTATTTATAACGAAAAAATATACCTATATACTTGCGGATTGAGAAAGGTTTAAAGTACTTTTAAGATTATATTAGAGGATAAATTACAAATAAATGAAAAAGAGATTGAATTATAGCTTTTGTTGTTAATTTGCTATTTTAGCTAAAAAGTATATTCTATCTGTAGCTAAAAAGAATATTTCTCTCTTTGTCAACAATTTTTTGTTAAGAGACAATTGCAAAGTCATACGACAAAAAACTATTATCGTTACATTTCTTTTTTACAATGCTAATATATCCGAATAATTTTTTCCTCTTTCTTTTTTATACAATTGTATTTTGGTTGATATTTTGTGATAAATAAACTTTTTCTAAATAGTAATTATAATTTATATATTAAAGTCAGTTCTTTGATTTTAATTTACTTAATTTTTGATAAAATTATAATTTTTTTATAAAACAATTAAATCATAGTTTATTTATTTTTAAACAGATTTAAAAAATGATAATCGGACTGTATAAATCTCTTGTTATAAAAAGTTTAATTCTTTCTCTTGATTTTTGAGTTGAATTTTTTTTTAACATTTTGTTGGCTACTTATTAAAGCTATCTATTTTTAGAATATGAAAGCATACTAATCGTTTCTTTACTATTCAAAAATATTCAGGCACGTGAAAATGCGGATATAAGAATATTTACAAAAAGAGATTGATGTTAAGATGTAACCTTAATGTTTGTTCTTAAAAAAAATAAGAATAAATTAACATACATACGTTGTATGTTCAATTTTATAAATCTTTCGAAAATCTTTCATTAAAATTAAATATTTTAAGAATATTTTTGTAAAATCTTAAACTCTTCAAGCAAATACAGTTTTAAAAAATCAATTTTTTTCGATCGAAAACAATCCTCATTAAATGATTTAAAAAAGTGAGAAATCGATATATTACTTTTTTGTGTTTGTAGCTCTACATAAAAGTTCCATATAGAAATTTATATTCATAGATATTTGTTAAAAATCCAATTATGTCAGACGATATTCATAATATTGTGTTTTAAATAAATGATCTTTTTGTAACATAGACGAATATTAAGATCTAAAAAAATCAATGGTAATCAAAATCATATTCAACAAACGGCAGAAACTAGTGAAAAATTGCGAGTTATTATAAATTATTATATACAAATTTGTTGAGTTTGTAATAACATGTTATGATAATACTTTATTCTTGTTTATTGTAATAATTGTTATTTAAATTATAAAAACGTTAAAGATTGTTGTAAGAAAAAGAAATTCTAATTTTAAAAACTTAAAATTTAATATTAATGGATAACAAATATACACAAATTATGAGCTTCTGATGAGTAATTGACTAAATAGACGGAATCCATTCTTCAGTTCTGATAAAGCGCAATATTTAATGCTCAGAAATAAAGATTTATCATTCTAGGAGACTTATGTCGGTTTTAGTATCTGTTCTTAAATTAAAAGTAAAAGTCTTTATTCGATACTAGAAATATTTAATACTAGAAAATGTAGTAAAATAAAGCATTATGTATTTTTCAGATGCCTCTACTCGAATCATTCATTCACGTTTCAACCGCTTTTTCTCAATGCGGCGAATTGATATTGGAAGAACGCGCTTATCAAACTAATGTTTCAGCAGAAGTTGTTATTAATATGGTTAATACGCTAACAGATCAAGCATTAGACGAAATGAGACCACAACTGTTAGGTGATCAACCTAACACGTACGCCTATACCAAGGCACTCGGCGAAGATTTCTTGTCGAAATGTGGACTGCCCGTAGGAATTTTACGTCCGTCGATAGGTAAGAAATTCTTCCTAACATGTTTTCGAAATCTGTATTTATTATAAAATTCCTGTATTTATTATAAAATAATATGATGAAAAATAAAGAGTTTCTTATTACAAGAAAATATTAATTTGAATAAAATTAATAATAAAAACATTATATTATTGTTGAATAGTCAGAAAAAATTGTAATATTCTTAATTAGAAGTCATGCATAAATTATTATAATATAGGATTATCTTAGCATAAAAAATTTTAAATTCTATTTAAAATTAATAGAAAAATAATAGATAATTATTGAAAATATTATTATATTAATTAAATTTATAATATGTGCCAAAATCATTTTTATTTTTTTTAAAGAGTATTATTTTTATATTTTTATTCACATATTTTTTCTGCTAATTGCTGTTGAAATGAATTTATCGACATAAAAGTCGCGATATTATTATAAATTATGTGAATTCTTATAACAAAGAGGAGAAAGATATTATTCTCTTCTTATTTCAATATTTTTGAAAAATATAAACCTTTATAAAAAGCATTTAAGAAATAATAATGCTAACGAATATTTCAACATATTATTTCATAAGAAATCATTTGAAATCACATTCCGATATATTATTACTAATAATTATAATATATTATAACTATTATATATAATAATATTGACAATTATGATGTTCTTGTACTTTAAGTGGCAGCGTCTTGGAAGGAACCAGCACCCGGTTGGGTAGACAATATGAACGGTCCAACTGGATTAATGATCGGTGCGGGTAAAGGAGTTATACGATCCATGCTTTGCAACGCGAATTATTTGATGAATGTAATACCTTGCGATATGGCCATAAATGCGACAATCGCTCTGGCTTGGCAAGTCGGATTGGAAAAGTCTACTAAGCCAATATTCCTAAATGCCACAGCTAACCAGGAAAATTCAATTTCTTGGGGCGATGCTGTAGAAATAGGAAGAAAACACATATACGAAAATCCGTTCTCGCGTAAGGAATATTAAATCAATCCAGTAAACTTATATTAAAATTAAAATTATAAAAGCAATAAAACAAAATACTAGAAATTATATTCACAAATATTATCGATAAATTACTGGTTAATTGTGTTTCCATTCATAAATGTGACATGTAATATATGATTACATCGTAGTTCTACTCTACATAAAATTGATTCATATAGAGTTGATAATAAATAAATAAAATAAATTATATGTATTTATAAAATTCGGTATTTACATAGAAATAATTTACATAGAAATTTCAATTTTTTTTGTTTTAAACAGACACTAAATGGACTCTATTTTTCATTTATCTGCCCAATTTCAAATAATCTGTTTTATTTTAAATTTCTTGTTGAAATTGTATAGGAAATTAAACTGATAAAAAAGATATATTTTAGATTTTATGTTAGTACTTGTCTTTTATAAACTCTATTTCATAATAAAAAATTGCATATAAATTAATTAAGTTTAGTTTTGCACATGAAGAAACACATTTATAACAGTATAATAATATAACAGTATAACAATAATTTATAACAGTATAACAATAATATTCTATTACATTACTATTATAATGTTGCAAAATAATACCCATGATATATTGTACTTATATTATATAAATGATTTGCATTATATTATTTGTTATTTTTATATTATATTATTGCAAACACACAAATAGTATTTACTAGAAAGTTTTTCGACGATATGAAATTTTGCAAGATAAATCTAATATATGTAACATTACGTTTTTTTCAGAACCATTATGGTATCCCGGTGGAAGAGTGACATCCTCAAAAATTTTACATTGGTTTGCCGTTCTATGGCTGCATACTATGCCCGCATATCTATTAGATACCTTACTTATTATTACCGGGAATAAACCTTTCATGATACGAGTACAAAATAAAGTGAACACTGGATTGGAACTGCTTCAATATTATACTATGAAAGAGTGGAATTTTTGGTGAGAAAAGCTAGATTTTATTAAAATTTAGTCAGGATTTACTGTTTACATTCTGGATTTAATTTAATTACAGCCACGACAATTTGCGCGATTTGCAGCATCGACTGTGTCCTTCGGACAGAGAAACATTTTTCATGGATACAAAGCTTATCTCTTGGAACGAATATTTGTTGACATATATCTTAGGCATAAGACAATATTTTTTGAAGGACGATCCTTCGACGTTACCTCGTGCAAGACGGGTCTTTAAGTTTCTTTATTTTGCCGACTGTTTGCTCAAAATAGTGCTCGGAGTTTTCGTTGCTTGGATAATGTATACCTGGATCATTTCCGCTAAGCCTATTATAGCAACGTTAATCGAGACGAATGACTGAATACATAAAGTATGAAACTTACTTATGTCCAATAGCTATATAGTTATTATATAAATATACATGTATGTGTACTATATGAAAATCAGAATAAAATTGTAGAGATAAATGTAGAGGTAAACATTTATAAAGGTTTCTGAAATAAACGTTTTATTTATATGCAAAAGGAAAATTTTATTGAATTAAATCAGTTCTGATTTTCACACAGTGACGCGAATAACTTTACCCCATTTGTATTTCGGAAACAAAAATCTGTATTTATATAAATTATTTTTTTTATTTTAGGCCTTATATGCATCTGAGATTTAAAAGTTGTAAACAATTTTGTATATATATTTTATATCTTTTGTTTCTACTTCAGAATATATTTATCTATAATTGAAACATAATTGTAAACAATTGTAACGTAGTTATATGGAAAAAAAAATCAAATAATAATTTTTAGATTCGCCGAATATATGTAAAGTGTTTTATGTCATATGTAATAAAATTAAAACTGTCACGTAGAAAGCAAATATCTTATTTTCAGTTTTTGATATTACTGTAAAATTTTATTTTCAATCTCTTCCTTTATTATAATTTAACTGTATATAATTTAATTATTTTTAGAGCTTTTTTCCTATATAACTACGTTCAATTGATCGTATTACGTAAATAAGAGATGCTATTTTATATTAGTTTTATACTAAGTTGTATTAATGAAAAAACGTGCCAATATTTGCAAACTTTTATTATACTTTTTATCATTACGTACGATAACATTATAATAACTACAAAGATTAAAAATTAAACTATTAAGACGCTTTAATCTTATACAGTTTGATTTTCCTTACATTTACAATTTAATACAAAAATTGAAAAATATTAAAATATTTTAAAGCGGGTACCTTCAATGGACGACATTAAAATGTATAATAATTTCTCTCTTCTCTCTCTCTCTCCCCCCTCTCATTCTGTCTTTCTTTTTGATTTATTCTTTTAAATAAACGTAATAGATTTTTCAATCTTGGAAGAAGTAAGTATATATGTTTTTTACTTAATGATCAAAATTATTAAGGCTGGCTGCACGTGAACGGTTTGAAAAGATTACATTTCATTCATCACGCGTTTAAGCAATAGATCTAGCTAATTACGAAGTACGATAACATTACTTTCGAAAATTACATGTATACATTGCTTCATTACAATCTAAATACTGCTTAAACATATATCAGATTAATGAATATACATGCAACTTTTTATTCGCACATCGTGTAGCGGATCTAATTGTAAAATTATAATCAAAATGAGCAACGACAAGACTTAATATTAATATTAATCCTTTATAATTGCGATATAGATTCTTCTTTTAAATTAAATTAGAAAAATCATGGAATCTCATGCGCGCATCGTCATTTTAGCAATTTTAGTTTTCTTTATGTAAAATATAGATTCTAAATTCTCGTATAATGTAACGCATAAAATATTTCAAGTTTTTATTTTAAAATACTATATAATAAAATATTTTTGCATTAGTACTTTTATAAGATACTTTAATATTTTAAAGATATTTCTCTCTCTCGCAATAATATAATTACTTACATATATTACGTATGTGTATTGTGTAATTACTTAATTTTTCTACACAGAGATATTGTACATTTTATATCACCTGTCGAGAATGATATTCTCGACAGGTGATGTAAAATGCACAATATCTCTGTGTAGAACAAGAAGATTTCAATGTCGAATCTTTTTAAACGAAATTAAGATATAATAAAAATACAAATTAAAAAATTTAATTCTGTATTTTCGATAATAGCTAAATTATGTCTATATAAAATATAATAGAATGTACGTGTGATTAATTTTGAGCAATAATTATACATTTGTGAATTAATTTCTCATTTTCTATTGAATTTATTCTATTAAGCTTTATAGCTTTAAGCTTTATAAGCTTTATAGTTTTTTGAGCTTTATATAGCTTTAAGTTAATTATTTATATTTTGATTGTCGGCTAATAATATTTGTTTATTTTACTTCAATTGACACTTCGGCAAAATGTTTAGTTAAACCACAATGTATAAACCACAAGATATATTAGTTTACGTCTAATAATGCATAATCGGTGTATAATCATGTGCAAATTCTATTTGATGCTAATATCTAACTTTAATTTATGATGCTTATAATCATTATGTTATATTTAATGCTTTCATGTTAATGTCCTAATTAATCCTTATGCAATATTAAAATACTTCATTTGCAATATTAAAATATTTAATATTTGACATAACAATATAATGTCTTCTTGACTATTCTCTTTTATTTTTCTGTTATTAATATAAATAAAAATATTATAAAAATATTATAAAAAAACTTGAAGTGTGTTGTAAGTATTTGTAAACTTATAGATTATAGATATACAAATATATATGTATATTCATATCCATTTATACATAAGCATATCTATTTTTATATGGACAAAATTGATATATAAATTTGTATAACTAGATATAATCAGTTTTGTCTAATTATATATGAAAAATGTTTTACCGGGGATATATTATGTAAATGTATAACTTAAATAAATTTATTTTCAAAATTATCAATTTATTTTAAAAAATGTTATAAATTAATTAATTATAAGCTGATAAATTGTGAGAGATTAAAACATTATATTTTTTATAATTTCTAAAATGGAAATAAATATCGATTTTCCATAACTTTTTGCTAGAATTCGTTTTTCTTCAATACTTTCTTTTCAGATAAATTTATTATATAAGTCAAAAATGACATTGTTATATTCTGCTCACGTAATCTTTGTTAGACGCGTATTAAAGAAATCGTTCTACGTAATGTTTTTCAATACTAACACATACTTAACGGGATTTTCACTTTTCACGCGTATTTGCTTAAAGGAAAACGATACACACGTCACAACATAAATAAATAGCGTTTATTACTGTTGCGAGGTCTCTCGTAAAACAACTTTCGTAATAGTTCATGTATTTATTTTCAAATGTAAATTGCGCATGAAAAGAAAAGAGAAATAGAAAAAAAGATGTAATAAAAGTTTAACACAAATATCTTTAAAATGATCTTATATACAGTAGCGTCACATCTATGTATAAACGAAAAAAAAAGAGTTAAAGTTAAAGTTTTGCAAGAAAAAAATGGATAATTTTGAATTTTAAGCAAAGTTATTTTTCAAGAACATGTAAAGATGAATCTAATTTTTTTAAATGGAATTATTTTAATTTTTTATATAAATGGATTTCTTGCAATATTCGGCGTAAAAAGTTTGAAAAGTAAGATGATTAAAAATTAAATTAAAGTTTACTAGACTATTTTATTTACTTTAATTCGATATAATATTATATAAATTACAAAATATATATTTTATACATCTGTATATTTTGTGTATTTATTTCTCGATTGCCTTGTCTCAATACTCTTCTACACAAATTAAGGAATGCATTGATGTAAAGAAAATGTAGTTATTTTAAGAATATAAAAATATATTTTTCTTCCTTTGTGCTCGCTGCAGATTCATACATTATACAAAATTTCTTGTTATAGAATAAAAAAAGCTTCATACACGCACAGACAGAGATGCATAAAAGAACAGCGATTCACTACAGTAAATGAAATATTTTTACTTGAAACACGTATTATGTTTTTTTTCATTTCTATTCCACGAAGATAATAAACACTTAATAAATTGCAAATCTAGTAAAAAATGCGAGCTCTTCTAACAGAATGAACTGATAAAAACAGCTAATTATATAATAGTAAATAAGCTAATAATAAAATAATAAAATATATTATTTTGCTAAATACTTTTTTTTTAAATTAAATTTGTCCATAATTTTTGTGAAACGATAACTGAAAAAATTGTTCAAGTGTAAACCAACCCAAGGAACACACTAAAATCAAGAAAAAGTCAAAATGACTTTATTTTGACTCGAAATAGTTATGTGATGAAAATTTGACCTCAGTAACATATATTGCTCGTGACGGAAAAATGACTTTGCGCTTGTCTTGCAAATTTAATATAGTAGTATAGTATTAAGTTTAGTATGCGTAAAAGTTTTGAAAATTATTATTAATGTATATGGCTTTATGTCACTTTGATGTCATCAATGGATCATTTTTTATAATTTAATAGCCTTTTTATTATCATCTTACTTTTATATACATTTATACATTGAGTTTCTACATTTGCCGCTACGCGGCGTATCAAACTTAACTAAACTCGTATTCAATTTTTTATTATGAATGTATATAAAGGATATAGATAAAGTGCTGCTAAACATTGGATAAAATCTGTAGTATACTTTTTTTCCTTTTGTGAGCAATAGTGCTAGGAAGAGGACGATGCTCACATGCATCAGAGAACTACGTAGCAGCTCTCTGCTTGTGTGCGTATGGATAATGTTCTTTTCCTGTTCCTGGCATCACTATTTATCAGTTTAATTTCTAATAAACTAAATTTAAAATAAATTATTTAATAATTTGGATTCCTTGTTGGAATTCAAAATATTAAACAGATTATTTGAAATTAGATGGATATAAATGAGAAATAATCCATTTAGCGTATATTAATAATCATCAACAAATCGTTAAATTTTGTAACCAAAAATTGTCATTTTGATTTCTTCTATTGTGATGTAATTATGACATCAAAATGACGTCATTTTGACTCCAATGTGTTCTTTGGGAAGTAGAGCACAGAGATATTAGTCATAGAAAAAAAAAAAATATATATATATAAACTATTATTGCTTGCGCAAAATGTCAAGTGAGCAATAATAATTTCACTCAACGTCAATTTGCTTCGCCAAAAGCTAATTACAAGAAGAACATGCGAATCGTAAAGGCGCGTATTCGTCACGTTATATAAGATTAGGCTTACAAGCAAAACGTGCGCATGTGCGATTCGTTACAGAAGAATGCGAAAACAGCAAGTCGAATCGAGGTGTATTATACACTTTCTCAATCTATGACGACTGGTTCACCATTCGGCTGAGTCTGGGTCCGAGGCCGCGTGTGCGACCTAGACGTACTCACGAACGGTCTCACGTCGCATTCGTCCGACATCCGTGTCCGCCGATCGTTTTCCTCTCGCAGTAAGTGTAACAAAAGTGTTGCGGTAAAAGCTCGACAAAAATCCCGCTTTTTGTCTTTCGATTTTGCGAGTGTAAATGTATTTGGATCGTCGATGTGTTTGTTTTGACCGAAAATTATAAGAAGTGTGACAAAGAAAGAAATTATTGCAAATAAACCGAGCAATTATTTTATTTTAAAGGAGTATTTTTACGATCAGTTTTTAACGCACACGCTAAATTAAAGTTGAATAATTAGAGATAATTATAGATTTTAAAAAAATTTATTTTGTATGTCTATTCTGGTCTTTTAGTGGTGTGATATTATAATATAATTGATAAATGTGCGCACAAAAGCACTCATCGCAATAGCCCATTAATCGGTCTTTCTGCTTCTCAAGTTTTCAGACTTTTTATCTTAGAGCTTGTAAAATTGTTTTTACTTTAATTTTTAAGTTTTTATACTTTTGAAAGTGTGAAATATGATAAGGTCAAAATCTGACTAGAGATAGAGAAGCGACAACTCTTTCTTTAAAAAAAATCATGTTTCTCTCTTAAAATATGTTAACATATCCACCAAAATCCTTATGATATTAAGCATGTAAAATTCTCATTAATAAAAAAAATACAAACATTTAAAGATATACCGTTAAATTAAATTAGAATTTACAGTACCGACCAAAAATATATTTCTACATTTTTTGAAGATAATTTAATTCAAAGTGAATATATTTCTATCTAGTCACATATGTTTAAATAGTAGGTATACAGGTATATAGTAAGTATACAGGTTACTGAGCAATAGACTTTTCGTTCAATAATGAAAACAGCAATTTAAGAAAAATTAATTAAATATATGCATTTTGAATTATCTTCAAAAAACATAAAGATAATACACTTATGGCCAGTATATTCTAATTTAACTTAACAGTATATCTGATATTGTATTTTATAATATATTTTGTAATTTATAATTGTATTGTATAATGCAATGTTTATACCATAATTTATTCACATAATGAAAAATATTTCAAGAATGTATACAGAGAGAAAATAATTCCTACATAGAAATCCCATTACGTTGATATTTATGAATGTAGCGCATATTTACATTATTAATTGATGGCTCTGAAAAAATCAATACAATTAAAAACATCAATAAATAAAAATATTTAATAAGTGAAATTTCTAATTCCTTCCTGAGAGAGAGCTGTACTTATCTTTTTTCTAATATTCACAAAATGTATAGATAAAATAATTTGATATCTTAAAAAAATTTCTCCCCTTTCTATGTTTAGATGTAAGAAAATTAAATCTTTTAATTTTATTTGCGTTATATAACACTCGTATGATATTAATGTTTTTTTCTATTTTACGCAAAATGATAATGAGAAACTTTAAATATTTAAACTATTAATTACTTATATTTCTAGATTTGATTTTATTATGAAAAGAGGCGCATATTATTTTTTATAATAGAAGAGAAGTAATTGAGAACTAAATAACCTTTGAACAGGATGTGCGTATATTATCATTCAATATTAACCTTAGGAAGATTGCTTTTCTGTGCTACTTAAAATAGCTGCCATTGTTTGATCGGCGAACCATAAATATTCAATAAGACTAACGATAACGATTACGATAACGATTCAATTTTAATCACTGACATCCATTTCTTCCGTTTTCAACGTGCTCATTTATCTGAGCAACATTTAATTGTTCTAGTGATGAGACAAATGCGTTTGTCATAATGTATAATTATGCATCGCGCAATATATATATCTTATTAATGCTTTCCGCAACGTGAATAGTGATTATTTGCTTCATCTAGAGACCTAGTCACATGTCTGGCGTAAGATCTTGCGATGTGGAAGATATCCTCTGTGTTGCACATTTTATAAAAACAAATATCTTTTAGAAAATTCATTTTAAAAAAAATTAATTTTTTAAAAATAATATATTTTTATTTCTCTTTTTTTAGGATATTATTCCTATTCCTTTGATCACAATGGAACCGAGCAAAGACGATAGTACCGATGTGCCAGACAGGATAATCGAGACTTTCGCTGGTCGCAAGATTATGGTAACAGGTGGCACGGGATTCTTAGGAAAAGTGATGCTCGAGAAATTTCTGCGATGCCTGCCTGAAATAGCGCAAATTTACATGCTCATCAGACTGAAGAAGGGCAAAGATCCTAAACAACGATTGCTCGAGATACTCGATTCTCCGGTAAGCTTTAATTGTCATCGTCTTTTCGCTTTTTCTAAGCACGTGAAACGCGCGAAATATAAAAAAATTATTAATTTATTAATAAATTTTTAATTATTATTAAATTAATAATGAATAAATTTTTTAATTATTAATTTTTAATAAATAATTGCACGGTAGGACGAGAAGGATACATCGCTATTCTAGAGGAATTTTTGCGAAGACGAAATTCGATGACTGCCATCGGACTTCCGTATCGCTTTGGTTCCTCGAAAAAAGAGAAAGTGCCTAACTATGACTCTGTTACTATATGCGTTGCAAGTTGCATCATTATTGCCTTACAACAGATAACGTGAGATGCCGGGAGTTTAAGTCTCTCTCTTTTTTCTCGCACGCGTACATTTCGGATATTTCTCGCGGATAAATTTGCCGGTGAAAGCGTTTACCGGATCGCCGACCACATTGCGATCTGTCGTTTTACGTGACGAAAGAAACCAAGTCAAGGCCTTGTCGAAAAATATAGCGAGAAGATTGTGATTATATTAGTACATATTGCGCTCTTACCGGTGAAAGTACGACTATTGCACGTTTCGTGCTGTTATATCATGCCTTTCGAATTTTAACGCAACACCGTAAACATGCTACGTCACGTATACACGTATGCATCTAAGATATTTGAATTCATTAGAATTTTTATGAATTTTTAAATATCTATTTCGTCAGAAAGAGGCTCGATTCTCATGATATTAAATTATTACTTTAATCTCCTCACATCATCAAACTAAAGTTATATATAAACTTATAGCGTTAACAGAGTGTCTCAAGACTTGTCAAAAATTCCTTGATCTTCCAGATATTTTTGTTCCAAATTCCAGGTAACAAGAATATTTTAAAGATTTTTGGTGCAATTTTCTAAAATAAATTTTTTATTGCACGTATTTTCTAATGTTTTTCACTTATAAGAATATAGTCTCTTCAATTTCAAGTGCTAAATTTACTGTAAATGTATTGGGAAAGCTGAATAGTTTCGGTAAGATAAACATTTTACACTTGCTTAACATTTTCAGTCTTTTATCATTAAAAATTACAATAAAGAATATCTACTGCATATTCAATATTTTATTATAAGGCATTGAATATATACATATATATATATATATATATATATATATATATATATATACACATACACACACACACACACACACACACACACACACACACACACACACACACACATATATATATATATATATATATATATATATATATATATATATTATAAATAGATATATAAATGTATAATTCACTTGATTTGTCGACTTATTAACATTTTATATGTAAAGTAGTTTACCGCGATTAGAATTAGATTTTCAAAAAGAATTCTTAATAATAAAATAATACAATTTATTATTTTTAAGATTATTTTGGATTTAATTTTTTCTAAATTACATTCTTTAGAGTTAGAAAATAAAACCATACGTACATAATTTCACATACATAAATTTCTGAAATCAATGTATCATATAAAAATCATTTAAAAAATAAAATAAGACGAGAGAAACTAAATAAAGATGAGAGAGCATTTTTATTCGTATCGATCGACGATTTATTATAACTATAAGATGTGCAAAAGAGAGGACCGCGATAAAGCAAAGAATATACAAGATGAGGACTTGACAATGCGATAAAATAAAGAGCAACGATTTTAAAAATAGATAAGAACAAAGAATCTTTAATATCACATCCACGAACTTCTGCGACACAATTATCTAGAGCATTCAAGTGAAAAAAGGAAATATATAAAGAAAACAAAACAAAAAAGAAACATATAATTGGATCGAGAGATTACTCAACTCGAACCATTATGTTGAACTTCTTAGAAGACAGATGATTATTGTGGTATACTTGTCAAGATGCATAGGCAAGGTGCATAGGCTAGAAGGTCCCTTACAATATGAGAACAAAATTATTAAAAAGATAATTTTTTTAAAATTTTGATATTCAATAAAATTCCAAAAGAATTCTCTGAGAAATTCAAGTTTTTCATGTTTTTTAGAACATCCTTATAATGTTTAATTAACAAAGAAATTGTTGTAACAGTCTTATGTTCATTTCTACTAATGTAGATTAATTTTAATCTTGGTTTCACTTGCTTTTCATCTTATTCTAATTCTAAAAAAATTAGAAAAAAAAAGTAAATTATACGAAAATTAAAATTAATCTACATTGATAGAAATGGACATTATACATAAAAAGTATAAAATAATTGCAATCAGTGAAATATCGCATAATAGTTTCTGAAGAAAAAAATACATCTATTTGCTAAAATTTAATTGCATCTATTTACATCTATTTAATTTTATTACAAATAATTATTACAAACGATCATTTTGAGATTTAAAATAATAACAAAACACATTTTAATATAATATATGCGCATACATAATATGCAGTACACACATATATAAACATACGATAATTCAGCAAAAGAGTTATATAAAATATAAAAAAATATAAAATGTAAAAAATGTAAAATGTAAAAGTAAAATATAAAATGTAAATGTAAAATGTAAATGTAAAATGTAAAAAAAATATAAAATATAAAAAATATTTTTATAAAAGATACTTTTGCTAAAGAAAGATACTTTTTAAATATTTATTTCCTTATTACTTGAATATTACTTTGAAGAAAAGAAATTGTGCAACAGTGATTTAAATGGATAAATTACACCGAGATAAGATCCATCACACAATTTTAGATTCTATATTATTATCACAAAAAAAAGAGATCAAGGATGAATTTATTTTTACACGTACCGATGAATCATAATAATACAAAGCAATCATCACACATATTTTCATAGAGATCTTTATATTCCGTCTACTCATAGTTTCTTTATTTTACAATATTCTTATATAATCGACAAATAGTAGATGACTTTTTTTAAATTTAAATTACAGCTTTTCGAAAAAGTCAAAGCTGAAAGGGGGTTATTAGCGCTTCAAAAAGCAATAACGGTCGTAAGCGGAGACGTATCACAGCCAGGACTCGGATTATCCCCGGAGGATAGAAAAATGCTCTGTGAGAATGTCGAAATCGTGTATCACGGAGCAGCTACCGTCAGGTAACGAAGATGAGAAAAAGATATATCGCTGCTCTCGGAAAAATTCAATGCTCTCTTAATATTTATCAATATATCTTCAGCATACTGCCAAAATATCGAAACTTCGTTTCTCTAACTCTCAATTTCAAAAATAAGCAAAGTGTTTTTCTCGCATCATTTAACATCTATTAATATAACGATTTTCATATATTTATAATTATTCACGAACATACGAATTTCTCTATGTATGTAAAATTTTTCATCCGTTTTGCAGATTCGATGAATTGTTAAAGAAAGCCGTACTGCTAAATGCACGTGGTACAAAACAGATGATAGAACTGGCTAAGGAAATGAAGAATTTACTTTTGTTTGTTCATATCAGCACGGCATATTGCCATCTGGAAGAAAAGGTATGTATCTAGTTTCCCCTTCTTTCATTTCTCCTCTCTCCTCTTCCTCTCTATGCATGCATAATGAATATATATACTGGATATTCTAAAAGATGATTAAAAAAATTGAAAATATAGAATAAAATCTTTTAAAAAACTTTGCTGTCGAAAAAAAAAAAACTTTCAATATTTATCAAATAGATTCGTGCGCTCGATTATCTCTGCACACGTTTGTATTTATATAATAGTAGGATTTTTTATCAATCTTATTACTTATATAGCACCATTTGCTCAGTTACGCACAACATATGTGACCGGTTGATATTCCGCCAAAATATGCAAAATGCAAATTTATCTTTTGCTATTTCCTCAAGAATCTTTGCTCAGCTGCTTCTTCGTTTGTGCACGATGTTGCTCTTATATTAGGAAAAAATCATTTATAATTAATTTTGGCTTCTTCTCATCCCATCAGAGCTTATTACATAATCATTATTTAGCGCACAATCTGGGCGGCCTAAACAAGTTTTTACCGCATTTTTTCCTCCTAGCTCCGATCTGAGTTTGCGTGCTGCGACTCAATTTTGATATTTATATATTTATATTTTTTTATCTATTTATATATTTTTTTAAATATTTTATTTTTTATATATTTAGTTTATATATTCTTTTTTATATTTTTAACATTGTATTGATTTGATATATTGATATATTTGTATTGATTTGATATATTCTTTTGAACCATTACTACATGGCTTGCTATTGAAAAGGATCCGAAGAGGATCAAAATGTCTTATGTCCTTATAATTTGAAATGTAATTTGATCAAATATATTTTATGGATAATTAATGTATAACTTATAACTTAATTTGCGCCCTATTTCAGCGCTTGTAGTTCTATTAATCTTTTGTATAAATTTTGATTATTATTGCATAAACCACATAATTCCTTTAATTTTATTTGTCAATCTTATTAGCTTATTTTTATTAATATGAACTTTCACCCTATAAGCACACAATATTTCTAGGATATTGTATAAATATTATTAACTGTTAATAATATTTATACAATATTTTAGGAATATTGTGTCTTATAGGACAATTTCTATCATTACATAGAGCAATCGAGAATATATGGGTCATAATTCTTGCATGTGGATAATGTTTCTGCCGCTAATCATTATGGAGTCGATTTCGTAATCATTGATATTCCAATAAGCAAAATATTCAAACAGCAGAACATTAGGTTTCATTTTAATTATTTGTATATAGATCGATTTAGTCAAATAAATGCCTAAAATTTGCAAATAATTTTTTTAAGTTTATATGAAAAACTTTGTCCTATCTTTTCGATTTATTTTCTTAAAACTCCTGGTAATTTTCTTAAATTTCCGGGTTCTATCAGTTACAAAATGTCCTGTTCATGTACACATACACACAGACACAGAAGCTATTTAAAAAATAATAATAATAAAAACAACCGATTTTGGTAGATTTTATACGAGAAAACCTATCCTCCGCCAGCGGATCCTCATAAAATAATTAAATGCGTCGAATGGATGGATGATGATGTAGTCGAGGCTATGACTGATAAGATTTTGGGCACGCTACCTAATACGTACGCTTTCACAAAAGCCTTAGCAGAAGGTCTCGTCGAAGAATCTATGCCATATATACCATCGATGATTTTGAGGTATCTATGACTCGAAAAATATCTCGCATTTAGATTTAACATATATGTGAACATATAGATATATTAGAACGACACATACACGCACATTAAATATTCATTGTGATTTATTGATTTGTCGACCGTCAGGCCAAGTGTAGTTATTCCTATCTGGAAGGATCCGCTTCCCGGTTGGACGGACAATATTAATGGGCCAACCGGTCTCTTGATCGGTGCTGGGAAGGGAGTAATCAGAACGATGTACTGTAATGAAAATGGTTACGCCGATTATCTTCCGGCCGATATCGCGATCAATGCTATTCTTCTTTGCACGTGCAATTTTATTTATTTCAAGGATGATCAACGGGTTTATAATCTTACAAGTAGTAGCGAATTCAAGGTACATAAATCGCTGTACGATGCGTTTGTCTGTACGCATCCTCTGAAGATGTTTAAACAAGATCCTCGATATTTCTTTTCATGGTTTACAGGTTCCCTGGACAGAAATAATAAAACTTGGTCGAGAAATAACGCAACGAGTACCTCTAAATGGAATCTTGTGGTATCCAGGTGGCAGTATGAAGAAATCACGACTTCTACATAATATCTGTGTCATATTGTTTCATTTGATTCCGGCTTATATTATTGACACACTTCTCTTTTTGTTGGGCTACAAACCAATGTAAGTTATCACTGAAACAATGTGTAAGAAATACTTATAATACTTGTTCATTTTATTTACATGCAGTCTGTGTCGTGTACAACGCCGTATAAATAAAGGTTTCGAGGTCTTCGAATATTATGCCAATAGACAATGGGACTTTGATAATTCATCTGTTCTCTCTGCGAGAAAAAGAATGAATAGCTTAGAATATAATAAATATCAAGTACACGGCGATGACATGGACAAAGGCGAGTACTTTGAAGCTTGCATCCGAGCTGCAAGAATTTACATATTAAAGGAAACTCCAGATACTCTACCAGCCGCTCGCCGACATTTGAGAGTGTAAGTTTAAAGCCGCATATTTTTTTTCTTACAATTTTTTTTTTTATAAACAATTTGACATTTTTTTTCTTTTGTCACAGTATGTATTGGGTGGATGTATTTACAAAATTCTTTCTCTTCTTGCTCCTTATATATGTATTGGCATCCTGGAGTGAAAGTTTTAAAACACTGCTCACAGATAGTGTAACATATATTACAAAAATGTTAATGGAGTAATGTTTTACGATTTAATTAAATCAAGAACTCTTTTTTTACCTATTGCATACAAAGATTATATCTATTATATTGATCAAATTAAATTATCATTTAATATCAATGAAACGATTAAATATATAACTTCACAGCATATGCAAACTACAGTTGTGTTCCTTAGATATGAACAAAATAAAAAGTGAATAAAGACATTATTTACATCATATGAAATGTGGTTTTTATTTTTATGAAAGATTGTACACTCATCTTTAAACAGATTCTTGTACTGGTGGTTCATAGCCTTCTGGTCTATCAACCTTAGAACCACTATCACCAGTTTCTTCACTCTTGTTACCACCTCCATCTCCGTGCAATTCTAACAACTTGCTGAGTTCGAAGCGCGGTTTCTTCAATACTTTCACCTGATAAAATTGTAACTCATTAATGTTTTACAAGAATAATCATTAATCCTTTCGTTACTAAAGATGACTTAGTTTTGCTGCTGAACGCTTGCATAACAAGTGGCTGTAGAATACATCTATCACATTAACACACATTTTTCAATGTGATAGATATATTTTATAGCCACTTGTTTTTAGTTGATTTGGCGTTATTAAATTTACACTTACATCTTTACAGATATTTCTTGATTTCATAAAAATTTTTGTTTATAAGCACTTTCATTAATCATTAATATACTTTCATTACATATATAAGCGTTTCTCCACTGAATATTGTCATAACGAAAGGATTTATTAAAGCATTGTGAAAAAACATTAAAAGTATAAATATTACTACTCACTTTACGAATGTAAACGTCATGCAGAGGATAAATACCCTGCGAAGCTTTCTCTATGTCTTTAGCTGTAGCATCTGGAAGTAATTTGCTAACCACGCCTTTTAAATCGGTCTTAGTAACATCTTCCGTAATAGTTTCAACCATTTTCTGTCTGATTTTTTTAACCTAAATTGAATCATGTCAATAAATAAGATAGAAAATTAAGAGAAAGGAGAAAAAACGTGCAACTAAAAATTAGTATTAAATGAATATATTCTCATTAAAAGAAATCCAATTCACAATTAGCATTTCTACTGATTTAAATTAGAAATAAGATTTTAAATTTTATATAACATTATGTGTATATTATATAATTTTAAATCTTACAAGATTAGAAAAAATTCTTTGAACATCTATAAGTATCAAAAACATTTGAATATTTCTATTAAGAAGGAATTTATTAATAGATCATAATATCATGTAGCATGTTTATATATCACTACTTACTTACATGGAAGTAGTGTGGTAAGTAACTGCGTTAATGTACGCAATTTTTCTGCCATTCACAATATTAAAAATTGAGATAGACAATAGAATTGCGTATAATGTATGACGAACAATTGAGTACAAACCTGCGCATGTTGAGCATAACACGTCTTCCTCGTGCTTAGCTGATCTTTGTTTGTGAAACCAATGCAGAAAACTCTGAGCAGATAACCGTCTGTAGTTTTCACATCTACATTAGCTTCAATCAGAGTCTGCCATTTTTTCACCATTGATCGAAGCTTATCCGTTGTCAAGTCCATTCCATGAAAATTGGTCAATACATTACGGCCTTGGACATCCTCAGCAATCAATCTAAATTTTCGGAACGATCTCTCTGCATCTTGATCACTTTGTAAATCAGCCAGGGATACTTCAAACACTCGGAACTTTAATCCCTCAGATGCAATCTCTGTCAAATTAAATATTTTATTGAATATTATGTTATTATATATTGAGTTTTATATATATATATATATATATATATATATATATATATAATGTTAAAAACAAAATAAAAAGAAAAATCAGAAGTAAATGCGAGTAACAAACCAAGTAATTAATAGAGAAAAAAATTTTTAGCTTATATTAGTTACACAATAGTATAAGTAAAATTTACTTGTTCCCTGAGTCCTATTGACGAGGGTTTTTCCAACTTGCCGATTGGCAAACATAGACGGAGCCTTGACATCATACCAGTCTTTGCGAGTGAAAGGATCAACACTGAAATAATACTACATAAGAAGAGGAGTACTTGTAACGTACAATACAATGGCAAGATTTTTTTGTATGCATTGTATATGTGGTCTGTATAGTAGTTTCACATCTGCATAAATTGTTAAATATTTTCAGGTAAATAAAATGGCAAGACTTTTTTTTTATCATGACATTTAACGACCCATCAAACAATTTTGTCTTTAGCGGTTTTTAGATACTTTCAGATGAAATGGCAAGACTATAAAAATGAATTAGGTTAAGTTTTATAGAGCACACGCGATCACATATTACATGCATCAACCTTAAGATAATGACACTTTCACACAAAACGGACAGTGACAATATTTAAAAAATATTTAGAACATATGTTTTATAATCGTATATTAATACGATCGTCCAATCCAATACAATATAATCATCGTCTTAACAGTACACATTGTTGGCGATAGCCTGTCCAAGGATCCGACATAACCAAGGGAATCGTGCCAAACGATAATTCGATGAAAAATATTTCAAATACATAAGATAATTAGCTATATTTAAATTGCAATATATTTCACTCACATCTTCTTCTTAACTCCCTTTTTGCCGCCTTTCGAAAGACCCTTATTCTTGCCCACTGCCATGATTCCAAGTCAGAAGCGAAAAGGAACGTAAAACGGAAACTGCTAACCCAACCTAGTGTGGAAGCGGAAATTACTACTCGATTCATTTTCGAACTTTTTTGACTTAAATTATATTTTTATATAATTTTATATATTTTTATTTTAAAAAAATACATGACAAAATATAATTAATATAAATCAATTTGTACATGAAATATTCGTAGCAATTTTTCCCTTAAAAATAAATGTCAATTGACAGCTGGTTCAATGCGATAAAAAGACAAAATTGCACTTCCAGTAAATATACAATGAATAAAATTTATAATGAATATTTTTTTTACTGCAAATAATTATTTCCATTCATCTCGCTACTGTGTCAGCTGTAACTAATTAACTCTTCTCTTTTATAGACAAGTCGATCAATCGATTGATTATCGTATAGTGAAAATTGCGACATTCTCTCTGTTTCTTTGCGCATGCGTTGTTTAAAAATCTTGTAGAGAATTCTTGCGAGGATGCACATTAAAAGCTGTCAATATGCGAAATAGAATAAATAAAAGGAATAGTAATAATTAATGCAGAACAGAATTATTATTACTAACTATAATACATTAATTATAATACATTAGCAGCAAAATAATAAATATTTAATATGTTTTTTTTCTTTTATATAACCCGGTAAATAATTTTTCATGTATATTCATGCAGAATATAATTGTACAAAATCATATACAGGGTGAATCATAATGGATGTAACAACCTTTTACCATTAGAGATCAATTATCGACTGCAACTGTAATCAATTGAATGATTCATAGATGACAGCTGCTTGGATCGACCGTGTCTGCAGTAACGTACAAGCGAGTTAAATACTGTGAATTAAATAATATACATATTCCATGCATACTTTTCTAATATATTTAACTTTTTTATGTACATATTTTGCTTTCTACACGGTTTTTTTCTAATAACGTGATTTCTTATTATTGTGAAACGTATCTGCCACATAAAAAGAGATATCTTTTGCATTCGTGTATTTTTTAATACGATTTTTTTTTAAATAATGATTTTTTAATACATAGAATTTGACGGCGATTTTTTTCATTCTTACACAAATCATTTTAACGCGTAAAAAGAGTTGGATTGGTAAAGATACAAAAGTATTCTTTTTTTATTAAAAAAAATGCGTAATTCTGCTTTCTACAAGAATTATTCTACTTATTATTAATTTTCTAAGTTATAACTTTTACATTCTTAATATCTACAGCAGAATATTTCTTGTAGAAAGTAGAATTACGCATTTTTTTTTATAAAAAAGGAATACTTTTGTATCGTTTACCAATCCAACTCTTTTTACACGTTAAAATGATTTGTGTAAGAATGGAAAAAATCGCCGTCAAATTCTATGTATTAAAATACCATTATTTAAAAAAAATCGTATTAAAAAATACACGAATGCAAAAGATATCTCTTTTTATGTGGCAGATACGTTTCACAATAATAAGAAATCGCGTTATTAGAAAAAAACCGTGTAGAAAGAAAAATATGTACATAAAAGAGATAAATATATTAGAAAAGTATGCATAGAATATGTATATTATTTGATTCACAGTATTTAACTCGCTTGTACGTTACTGCAGACACGGTCGATCCAAGCAGCTGTCATCTATGAATTATTCGATTGATTACAGTTGCAGTCGATAATTGATTTCTAATGGTAAAAGGTTGTTACAACCATTATGATTCACCCTGTATAATTGTACAAAAATATGTATAATTATAAATAATAGAGTACAGGACATTACTGCGCATTTTGCATACTTATATATAATGTTCACAATGTTTTATGTATAATTATACACCTTTTCAAGAAAAGGTAAAGAAAAGAAGTCGAGTCATCTCAGTAGTAAAACATTGTATAAAACTATTTTACAAAAAATTATTTTAATAAAAAATTGCTGTATTAAAAAAAATTGTGTAAAATAGTTGTCATAACTATCTACAAAAATTAATGATATATTTAAATAGAAAATTACGTCGAGAATAAAAGAGTGCGATTTTATTTTATGTTTATCAACAGTGTGTGTGTGTGTGTGTGTGTGTGTGTGTGTGTGTGTGTGTGTGTGTGTGTGTGTATGTGTGTGTGTGTGTGTGTGTGTGTGTGTTAGATGTGATTGACTGCTGATAAATAATTAGATAAAGAAAAATTATGTTTATATTTTCGTCGAAAGTTATTGCATCTTTGTCGTAAAAGTCAGAATCCCGATTTCTTCAACGATGAACAGTTGATTCATGTAGCTTGTAATTTAAAAAATTTTAATTATTAAAAAACTCGACGCTGCCAAATTTATTTGTATACTATTCAGCCGATAATATGCATTACTCGCAACTTAGCCATTCGCGTAAAGATACACGGTGTGTCTTGCGCCTGAATGATGACTCGACTTCAAGACACTACTGTGTCTCTTGATACATGGATTTCTGTTTAGATGGATTTAGTTTAATATATAATTATATATATATATATATATATATATAAACATTATATATATATATATATATATATATATAATTATTTGTCATTCAATATATTATAAATTGAACAATTATATTTCAACCATTATATTTACATCAAAAATGCTGTTATATATTTACGCTATTTTTTAGAATATATTAATTAAGTGAATATATATTAATTTGCACACTTTTTTATCATTTTTATTGATGCGATTAAGCTTATTTTCAGTTTAATAATTTATACAATAGTAGAACTAATAAAATAATGAGATCAGTAATATTTTAAATGACATAAGATTAACTATACATTTTAAAATTATTATTTCGATCCTAAGAGAAATGTGTTGGTTACGTAAATGTATTCTCAATAGAATTATCATATCAATCATATAATTTTTCTTCTCTCTTTTGCCATTTCCACTTTTATAAATAAACTTCCGTGCAATGATAACACTGCGAGCGGCAGTGACAACAATAATTTAGTTTAGTCATAGTTCCAATAATTAGTATGCAATGAAATTGTATCTCAAAATGATTTTGTTCTTTGTGTGTCTCACGATCTTAATCTGTCTCTCTTCTTCTCAGAGCGATCAAATAAAAGAAGAGTTAAAAAAATCATGGGAAAAAAATTGTACCACTCCTTGTGTTTATATAGAGGTAGAGAGTAATTCCAAATTTAATTATATTTGTACTTAGAATTATATTTGTACTTAGAATTTATCAACAAAGCTAATTTGTGTCCGTTTGTTAATCTACATGTGTCTAACATATAAAGATTCTTAATATTTATATTTTGCGAATAATGTGACTGATATAAAACATAATTAAATAAAAAATAATCTTTTTCAAATACAAAAATAAAAATAATTATTTTATATTTTCTGATGTTGCATACAAATTCTAAAATACTTCCCATGTTTTACAATTTTGACAAATTTAAAGTGCATAGGATAAATATACTGTGCGATGCTTTCGCACAAATCTCGTTGAGATTTTTACCATAAGTTGGCAGTAAGTAAAAATAAATTTTGCAAAATATTATATCTGAAAAACATTTTGTATAGAAATTAAATTGAAAATCGAAGAAACGAATTTTCTCCCCAATGGGTGTACCGATTTTAACGAAAGAAAATATATTATGGAGTTTAATGGTACGAAACACGTGGAGTTTAATGGTACACACGTGGTTTAAAAAAAATTAGGAAAATATTTTTTCCAAAGAAACCGGCTGAAACAAATTTTCAAAATGTTTTCAAATTTTTTTATAGAATATACTTGAGATACTACTACCATTTTTTACTAAAAAACTCTTCGACTCATCTAGTATAATACATTTAATTTTCAATTTTCTGATGTATAGCAAAGAATCAAAATATATGTTTTCGATACATTTTGCAGAAAGGAAAATATAATTCAGTATGTATATAAGATTGAACTAAACATAACACTGTTTTTTGACATGAATATGATTGATTTCTAATTAAATATAATTGGGTTCTAACTAATTATTGGTTTTCAAGTCGATTTTTTTATTACGTTAATGCATGCTCAATAATATTTTACAACATAGAAATTTAAAAATTGACATTTGATTTCTTTCTGCACAATATATTCATTATGATTGACATTATTTGTCTTCGTTTCTCCTTTTTACTTCTAGACAACGACCGATGGCGATCAAATGAATAACAATTCTGAAAGGCCTCGTGTGTCACTATGCTGTCGCGTTGGCACTTTCCTTACAAAAACACATGGTTGCATGGAAATTACAACAAACAAGACAGAGGAGATGGTGCAACTGCCTGTAGTTTATGACATCAATCTTATCCCGGAAAATATTAGCATGAGCGACAAGTACTTTAACTTTGTGATATGGAATCCCTGCGCTGGCGGACATCGGTATTTTTTGGATTCGCACACTTACGAGAACGACAAGTGGTATCTCATGTCGAATGGCTCTATATGGCGACCTAAAAGCTTGGAGAAACCTATTCTCGACTATCGTCAATATTGCTTAGCCCGAATAAACAGCACCGAGTATCGGGAGTACTTGGCGTTCGTCTGCATGTTCAAGAATAATAATAATAATAATAATGGTAACAAAAAAGTGATGATCTTTTTCTACGGCGGAATGCTTGTGTCTGCGCTGTTTCTGATTGCCACATACGTCGTCTACTGGTTACTGCCTGAGCTGAGAAATTTGCACGGTTTAACATTGCGCGGATACATCGGTTGTTTGGCAACAGCTTATAGCACATTGGGAATGCAAGTGCTAATATTGCATCGTATTGAATCCAGCATCTGCATCGTACTCGGTATATCTACAGATCATGTACTTTTCTTCTTCATTTGTGTTATATTACTTTAACGCAAAGGAAATCGTCTAAAATGAAATCAATCCAGCAAACATCAAGTAACAGTTATATAATTGTTAGTTATAATTTCCCACTCAACAATATAATTGTTATTTAAATTTTCTACTCAACAATATAATTGTTATTTAACACATAAGTTAGTTATATAACATGTAACAGTTATATTGTTGAGAAATTATAACTAGAAAATTATAACTAATAATTATAACTAATTATAAATAAGTTATATAACTCTTACTTGGTGTTTGCTGGGAATACTTTGCTATATTTGAAAAGAAAAGTCCATATACATATAATCAAATATAAATATACGGTGTTTCAAGAACAATTCTACATCGCATGACACAACTTGACACAATCCGAATATGAACTTCGTAGTAAACTCAATAGAGATGACGATAACAGTAACATCATTTTGCATGAAATATGCGACAATAATATCTGAACTATTTTTTGGCTGATTCACGCCAGGAGACTGAGTCTTTAATCTTAAATCGAAATATGGTTTAGTTTGTATTAGTATTTATTTTATTGTTTTTTTGTGATAAATTTTAAATTGTTTCTTTTCCTATAAATTTGCAATGCAGAAAGATAGCGTAAATCTATTTTTTCCATTGATATATGTATAAGTAGAAAGCATTAATCTTATATTACAGTGTTTTAATGCATTGTTACGCTGTTTATTCGACCCTGTTTATTTCAGCCTTCATTAGATATTTCTCATTTTTGGCGAGCTTCTTCTGGCTAAATGTGATGTGCTTTGACATTTGGTGGACATTTAGGTAAGCAAATATGAAAAGAAGTGTTCCCTTATTTTTAAAATATGTATTATATATATTTTATATATATATATATATATGTATTATATGTATTATATATATATGTATTATATATAATATATGTATTATATATAATTATAAACCATAAATTAAAATATCTCAAAGATTCGAGTGTCGAAGTCACTTTTTTCGTTATGAACCAAATTTGTAACATCGTTACAAAAATAACAAAAATGCACAACAGCAATAATGTTATACGTAATGCATTATTTCCCAATTTTATTCATTTATTAATCTTATATATATATATATATATATATATATATATATATATTTTAATGTGACTCAAGAGTTGTAAAAAATAACATATTTTTTGAATAAACTTCAAAAAGAGTTGATATACGTAAATATGTATATGTAAATATTATAATTATTATCTATGTTCGTGATAATTTTAATAAAAGTAAAAAAATTATACAGTGATAATAGCAATACGAGTCAAGTGTCGATCCTATGACACAATAATTTATTATGCAAACAAATAAGCATGGAACATATTACAAAGAAAGGATGGCGAATGTTTCAGCCCTATTTTTGGATCATCTTCAGCGCAAATATGATGATGTGATAAAACATAATAATAAATAACAAAAAGAATTTATATCGGAGCCAGTTACAGAAAAAGTCGTCTAAAGTAATAATGAATGTCTCGGTATCTTATCATCTTGACGATGCTTCCAGGCATCGAAGATTTTAATGAAATTATCTCAGGATATATGAAATTATTGATGTGTTCTCGATTGCAATATACAACGCGCGGATATTTTCCTTTTTTCTTATTCACATAGGATATAAAAAAAAATTTATATTTTTTATCTCTAGCATATCAATAAAATTTCATGACATATTCATGGCAATATTATATCGTTATTTCTTTCATATTATGCAAATTGATTTGTTATCGCTAAGCTTACATCGTAATTATTTTATGATGTAACGATTATCTGTGTGCGTAATATGTTTTGCGTAATATGTTTTTCTCTAATTAATTAAAGAAAAAAAATTAAAGAAAAAAATATCACTATGCAAGATCAAAAGTTAAATTTCTTTTTTTTCGCATATTTGCGTTGAATCTGTCTTTACGTGCACATAATTATGCATATATCTTCATCATTTTCACGCGAATCATTACTCGGTTAATTTAACATAACTTAATTTAATATATATATTTATTAATGATAATTACCAATTTTGAGCTATAATTTGATAACTCTTTTATAGATCCAGAAAAAAATACATTATAATAATATATAATTTTTTACACATATTTTTATTTATAATATTTTTCAGATAAAGTAATCTTAGTATTATTAAAATCTCTTGTTTTTTAATAATGTTTTTTCAATATGGATAGAACAAATAATATATTAAATTATAAATGATAATATATATGTTTAATATATTTTATTTTACATCGATTATATGCCATTTATACGATTAGATAAAATGTTTCAAATAAAAATTAACTGCTACATTTTATATTTTCGAGAATGTATATCCTCGAGTCATCTAAAAGCGATAATTATTTCAATATTTTCATGATTATTTAAACTTTGTCTTATTGTACTTATTGTTTTACTGACTAAATTTGAATGTAAACTATATTTTCACAGAGAATTCCGCTCGTCACAAGGAAACGTGAAACAACGAGAAAGAAAGAAATTCATAATATATTCGATCTACGCATGGGGAAGCGCATCTATCCTTACTATTATTTGTGGTATCATGGATTTTGTTCCCAGCGTGCCGAGAAATCTTATCCGACCGGAATTAGGCGTCAGAAGTTGTTGGTTATCTAGTACGTGGATATCAACTTTATTATTGCATATTTTAGTCATATGCATTAAAGCTATATGCGATTAAATACTTTTATTATAAAATATAATAAAACTATAAATCTACAAATTTGAAATATATGTTTTATAGTAGTATATAAATATACATATAGATAATTACAAAAATATTATTTCTTTAAAAATATCTTTATTTACATCCTTCTACAGACTCATTTATTCGAGTCTGAATGCCTATAAAATATAATGACAAATTTATTTTCTGTTTTAGCAAAACCAGCGAAAACATTATACTTTTACGGACCTATGGGTATTACTGTTATTTGCAACATTTGTTTATTTATCTCTACAGCATTGAAAATCGTGGACCACAGAAAAAACACAGCTCATCATCTGAGAGGTTTGGAAAATCGGCGTCATAAAGAAAATAAGCAATGGTTCGTATTTGAGCCTTTTTGCACTATTATTGTTAATTATTCTTTTTTATCTTGATAAAGAAATATATTCTAGTATTTATAACAGTTTTAATGTGCATAATATTAATCTGTCCTCGTTTCTAATAACAAATTATCTAATTTTTTTTAATCAACTTTTTTATGAAATACAGTTTTTTACAATTTGTGATTCTCAGAAGATGACAAATGATATTTGTGTGAATAATTTATTGTGCATATTAATCTGTCCTCGTGTCTATCAATAAATTATCTAATTTTTTAAAATCAAATTTCTTATGAAATACGTATATCAAATTTCTTATGAAATACGTATATACGTAAATAGTTTTTTACAATTTGTGATTCTCAGAAGATGACAAATGATATTTGTATGAATAATCTATTATTTGTACGAATAAAATTATAATAAATATTCCTATTTTGCTTCTATTTCAAAGTAAGAATTATATAAAAACAAATTTCAAAATAAGAATTATATAAAAACAAATAGAATAAGATTTTAAAACGATATAAAATGAATAAAATTAAAAAAAGTCAGAGTAAACAACAGATGCAAACAATTGTCTTCAAAAAATTTCATTTTAAATAGAATTATGAATAATTAAATTATTGAAGACAATTATTTGCATCTTAACTTATATTAGCCCATTATCTTACCTGTTTTATATATTGAAGTAATATTTCTTAAAAATTTCTTAAGAAACATTATTTATTAATTATTTTCTAAGAAAAATTATTTGTTCTCTTTTTAAATTTTAATCTATTTTTTTGTAAATTGATTTTATTACTTTATTATTATTACTTAAAAAAATATTTAAAAATAAGATAATTACAGATCAAAAATATTTATCTTTAAAGACCTAAAAGTTAAATATTTCTTGTTTCTGAAATAGCAATCTTCCAATTTAATACGTTTTTTTTAATAATCGTATATATATATATATATATATATATATATATATATATATACCCTAACAGCACACATGTCCAAAAGATGTCCAAAGGACATCCATAGAATATCCCGATCTCCTATGGATATCCTATGGATATCCTTTGGATATCTTTCGGACATGTGTGCTGTTAGGGTATATATATATACGATTATTAAAAAAAAAAAATATATATATATATAATGATTATAATACTGAATCGTCGTATATTCGTAAAAATATATAAATAAATATATTCATTCGCAGGTTCAATTTGTATTTAAAATTGTTTATCGTAATGGGTATAAGTTGGTCTATGGAAATAGTGTCATGGCTGGTCGACAGTGTGCCGCAGTACGTCTGGTATCTTACTGATTTGATAAATGTCCTGCAAGGTCTCATAATTTTTATAATTTTTGTGTGGAAGAAAAAAATTAAGCGATTGTTGCTGAAGCGATTTGGTTGCCAAAAACTAGAAACTTCCAAGACACTTGATGTGCACAATAATTACTAAAGCTTATATATATTAGTACCACTAATGCTAAGTAATGATGATCCTACAAGAAAAAATCAATCCTTTTGTATAATAATAATTTATGAATATTAATTTATGTACATTTATATAATAGAATTTTGTAATTTGATGTGTTTATGGAAAAAATATATATATTAAAATATATATATTAAAATATATATATTTTTTCAAAGAATTTTTAAAAGAATAATATATGTTTAGTTAATATATGAAATATATATTTTTTCGTTTCATTCTAAATGAAAAATTTTCATATTTTCATATATCAGATGATCAACAGCTTCTTTTTTCTATCTCTCTTCCTTTTTTTGTAATGAGCTGAATTCCATAAAGCGCATGTCTGTGACACTGTAGTGTTGCCACATTAGAAAATTTTCCCCCAAATGTTAGTCTTTAGGAATTTTGTTTTTTTTTAGGATATTTTAGGGAAATAAAAAGTCTAGTAGATTTTTTTAAAAAAAGCAGAGATATATAAAATATATGCACTTTCTTACACAATTTTTATTAAAATTATTTTAGGAGTAAAAAACATAAGTCACGCGATTGGCTATTGAATAAAAATTTTTTTAAATCCAGTGTTTCTTGTTGGAAAGTTGCGTTCAAAAATTTTCCTTGCAGTAGAGTAGTGTTTAATTCGACCAATCAGGACAGAAGAAACAAAAGTTCCTTTATTCTGATTGGTCAGTCAAATGCTATTCCATTCCAAGGAGTAAATTTTGAAACATTATATTGTTATATATAGTGAAATATGAGAGAGGAAAAGAGAGAATGAGAAAGAGAGAAAGAGAAAGAGAGTGAAATGGTAAGGGAAATCGAAACAACCGATAATTATTAGCTGTTTCAGTCACTATCTTTCAATATTGTTCAGTATGTTCGAAATTTTGGTTGCGAGGGATTGTAACTTATTATTTTTCTGAATGCAGATGCAGGAGCTGACGCTTGCGTTTTTTCGTAGTAATATCCGTGGTAAATGAAATCGCATGCTCTTATTGTAGCATGTATCTCTATTCGACAAATCATATAAAGATCCTCTTCGATTAATTGGCCTACATAATCGCTCCGATAATTATGAATTTGCAAACACTTTTTCAAGACTTCAATCCAAGGTAACTTTTACATTATTTGATATAATACATGATTTCAAGTATATTAATAAATATAAATATGAAGTTAATTTTGATGTTAATTTTTAATTCCAGTAAATTTTTGGTACATTCCTGTTTAATGATATTTACATCTCTATTTGCTCTTCGATTGGATGGCTTCATAGAATGGAGTTACTGGTCAATATTTAGTCCGATATGGTTTTGGAAAAGCATGGTAATTTTGGGAGCTATAATTGGAAGTTATGTTTGGTGGAGACATCCACATGCAAGATTGGAAGGAGATGCCTATGTACATTATAAAGCGATGCTCATTACCTTGGCGTTACATTTAATTCTATTAATGTTTGAATTGTTGGTGTGTGACAAGTTAGAATCAGAAAGACACTTATGGATACTTGTATTTATACCCTTGATATTCATCTCAATAGTATCTATTGCGGTAAGTAATATACCTTTCAAAACTCAACAATTTGTATAATTATTTAATGTCTTCTGACAATATTTTATTGTGATTTAGGTTTGCATCTGGGCTGTCAAACACGATCGATCGTTTGAGCTCGAATTATTCTGTGCAGTAAATGTATTGCAATTTATTTTTCTAGCCTTGAGATTGGATGGTTTTATAACGTGGAGTTGGGAAGTTGTGTTTGTGCCAGTATGGGCATTGCTTTGTTTATCCTTAGTAGCTGTTTTATATGCAATAGTATTTGCTGCTGTTTTATTAAGAACACCACAGATCAATGCTCGTCAGAGGCGGACCTCCTTGAATTCGGCGTTAGCATATACATTTCTCGTCGTTCCCATTTTGGTGTTCCAGGTATAACTGCATCTTTTTATCTATTTACTTAAGTAGATCATATTCTATTTTCTTTTGTACTATTTATTTATTTATTATTTCCTGCTTTAGGTACTATTAGCAAATAAATTGGATGGAGATATTTCAATAAATTATACAACAGTGGCAATGCCACTCCTTGTGTCACATATAACTCTTATTTTTATGTCTTTTGGTGCAAAAGGTGGAAATAGATGTAAGACACAATCTTGTAGACTTTGTTATTTAATAATATTGCTTAGAATGATATATTATTATTTTTAAAATATTACATATACATAACATACACACATATACATATAAAATGTTAAAAAAAAAGGACTTAAGAACTTAAGATAAACATACACTAAATCGAGTAAAAAATATGTGATGAATATTGATCTAAAAATTCAATCTTGTTCAATTTAATTCTGATACAGTTGATTTTTTATCTTATATTTATTAGACATATTTTTTTTACTCGATTTAATAAATATTTTATAAGTCCTAACTTTTTTCTTTTTTATGTAAAACATACATATATCTTTTTATGATTAATTTTAATTAGGATATAAGAATGATGGAATTTTTGTCCAGGGTGGTTTGGTATCAGAAAAGACTTTTGTCACTTCCTACTAGGTTTATGTCCATTGCTCCAAGAATATGGTAATATTTCATATCAACCAAGGGATGAACGAGATCAACCGCCATCTGAACCGATGATCACGGAAAAGAGTGAAAAACTTATTAAGAAAATCGACCTAATGAAACCTGTTGTGCCTATAATCTCTATAGACATGCCTGACTGAGTGGCTCAAAGCAGGTATTCATCATAGAGATTTAAGAACTACTATATGGCTTATATATTTTGCAATGTAATATATATATTTTATTATATTTTGCAGGGTTAACTTGTATATTTAAATATTATTTTTAATGCGATTGACTTATATAGAGGCCAAATATCTGATATAAAATAGTCAGGTATACATTTAAATACATATATAAAATATATAATTCAAAATATATTTTACAATCAAACAAAAAAGTATATAATTTTCTTAATGTGATATATGTATATATATATATATATATATATATATATATATATTTCATGAAAAATTGTGGAAAGAAAAATTCCAAATATAAAATAATAGAAAATATAGCTATTGTGCTTACATGTACTTTATTCTAGGCCTTATTAAGTCAAGAGATTATATTAAATGGATGTATATGTTGGCTGGAATATAAGACTGAACACTTCGTATCTCTAGGATAGCAGAATGTCAAAAAAAAAATTAAGAAATTGTAAAAAGAGCTGGATAAATCTAGAAAAGCCATGTTACTGTTAATGTTGCTGGATATTGTAATATTGAATACCCAATCATTTATTATATTATAATGTAGAAATAATGTACAGACTGTTATATCACAATAACATCATGTATGATAGACATTAAATATGGATCTACCGCATTGTGGTAGATAAATACTAGTAAAACATGTTATATATAATAAGATATATATATATATAACATTTAAAGATATAATCTAATAAAATTTCTATTTTTTGGTATCAGTAGCAATGATTTATTAATTTTAGTTACACTATTATCTAATATTTCAGGTAATATAAAATGTGTGTATATATATATATATATATATATATATATATATATATATATATATATAATGTTATCTTAATATATACATATTTGTAATATAATAAACTATATATAATTTCTTTCATTATTAATATATGTAATTTTGTTCAACAACATTTTACTGCAAATATAAATGCTGTGAACAAAAATACATTGAATTTTTTGTTCATTGTAATATTTAAATATTTTTGAAAGCTTTGACACTATATAAAATATAATCAAAGTTAAAACACTATATAAAATATAATCAAAGTTAAAACTTATATAATCAAAGCTTGAAAGTTATGTGTAATTTATGAAAAATATTTTATTTAGTATATTATGGCTAATTTCTTTCTCATATGGAAAATTTATAAATTTTACACGTGCGATGTATATACAACAGTTTGATATCCAATAGAAAATAAGCGAGTTATAACTAACGACATTTTCACTAGAAAATAAATCCTCCTATTGGATATCACACATCATATATATGTCACACATGGACAATAGTTCACAATCAGTCAAGAATACAAAAATCCATTACATACACTATCTGACATCATTGGAATATCAATGATATAAGATTGTTTTCAATACAAATTATTTACATATTTTGCTCATAATTTTCAAACAACTTGCGCTAGACAGATGGATATCGGAGAACTGTTATCTTATAAAGTATGTATTAAAATTTTCGAGTAAGGATTTATTTTTATTATGTCAAACTACTATATGTACACTATTTAATTTAACCTCACATTTTCATATATTTTCATATAAAAAATGAATGAAGGAATATTGATTTTATAAACAGAAAGTGTAAAAAAAATCGTGAAATTAAATACCTCAATAAAAAAAAATATATATATATATATGTGTGTGTGTGTGTGTGTGTGTGAAGCAAAAGAGGAATTTAATAAAAAAATGTTTGTAAACTATACATTATACTAACTATATATATATATTTATTAAATTTCTTGTTATTTCTTTATTACAACAATATGAGTACAATTAAATACATCATGTGATAATAATATGTGTAGCCTCCAAATACACCAAAACGGCCAGCAGCAGGGGAAGAGGATGATGAGGATGAATGGGAAAATCCGAAAAAACCAAAAAGAGTAATAAAAACTCCATACCATGCACGTCAACGGCAACAAAAAGAAGTTGAAGTAATATCATCTAGGGAGAGCGAACCTCCCACACCTATTAGATCTGCCGTACCCTCATCAACTCATGATGTGATAGAACCACAACTGACGGAGAAGGAGAAACAAGATATATTAAAATATGTAGAAACTGAGGCACCCGAGGTTGAAGCATTAGATGAGGCGACGCTTAAACGTATGATTCTTTTATTTGAGAAGAGAGGTCTTCGAAACCAGGAAATGAGAGTTAAATTTCCAGATCAACCAGAGAAGTATGTATATATAAGTTAGTATTTTGAAACACAAAATTCTTAAGATATAATTATTTCTCTAAGCTGGGATTTTACAGATTTATGGAATCTGAGGTGGAATTGCATGAAACTTTGCAAGAGTTGCATATTGTAGCAACTAATCCAGATTTGTATCAATTGATGGTAGAATTAGGCGCTGTGCCTTCTTTACTTGAGTTATTATCTCATGAAAATACTGACATAGCAGTTGGTGTAGTAGATCTTCTGCAAGAATTGACTGATGTAGATATATTGCACGAGAGTCAAGAAGGTGCAGATACACTCATTGATGCTTTATTGGAACAACAAGTTTGCGCTCTTCTAGTACAAAATCTTGAAAGACTTGATGAGACAGTGAAAGAAGAAAGTGATGGTGTTTTTAACACACTTGGTAATTATTTAAGGGAAAGAATATCATGTTGACAATTATAAAAAGTATATTATTAAATTATTTTTCTTCACAAAAAGTGATTTTTAATAAAACTTTTAATCAATATACATTGATTGTATATATTTTAAAGATACTTTAGAAAATATTAATATTAAGTATATAGAATCTGTATTTCTCTTGCTTCCATTTATACGTATTCTCAGCCTATTTCAAGCATTTTATTATAACATATACATTATTACTTGCTAATCAAATTTTCAAATATTTTATAAACTATTTTGAAAACATGATTAATATATTGATAAAAAATTTTTATTAAAAATGTCACTATAAAAAAAATAATTTGACTTTCAGCTATTTTTGAGAATCTCCTGGAGTTTAGACCAGATTTATGTGCAGATGCAGGAAAACAAGGTTTAATGCAATGGTTATTGCGTCGAATTAAAACAAAAACACCTTTTGATCCAAACAAGCTTTATGCTAGTGAACTCTTGTCTATACTTTTGCAGCATACACCAGATAATAGACTTCTTTTGGGTGACTTAGATGGAATTGATGTTTTATTACAACAATTAGCTGTATGCATTTATATTTTCATAAACTTTATACATATAATTACGTATATACCTAGTTTAATCATTTTAAAATTGGATTTGCAGTATTATAAGAGACATGATCCACAGACTGCAGAAGAACAAGAGATGATGGAAAATTTATTTAATGTTTTATGTTCAAGTTTAATGGCTACTGTTAATCGCGATAGATTTTTACGTGGTGAAGGTCTTCAACTTATGAATTTAATGTTGCGAGAAAAGAAAATGTCACGGAATGGATCTCTTAAAGTAAATATATTATAGCAGAATAATTAATCATATCAATATAAATTATTATTAATATTAATTATTATTATTAATTATTATTATTGTTATTAATTGTTATTATTATTAATGTAGGTTTTAGATCATGCTATGAATGGTCCAGATGGAAAAGATAATTGCAGCAAATTTGTAGATATTCTTGGATTAAGAACAATATTTCCCTTGTTTATGAAAACTCCAACAAAAATAGAAAAAAAATGCTTACTGCAGAAGAACATGAAGGTACATAAATTAAATTAAAATTAGAAATATGCATAGGGCGATTTCTAATTTTGTATGTATAATTTATATCTATTATAATATTATAATATTATTTAAAAAATATTATTTAAATAATATTTATAATTTAAATATATTATTTAATATTATTTAAAAGTTTTTAAAACTGAACCATTGAAATGCTAAATAATTTTGCAGAACATGTAGTTTCCATCATAGCAAGTATGCTGAGAAATTGCAAAGGACAACAGCGTCAAAGACTACTTAGTAAATTTACAGAGAATGATTATGAGAAAGTAGATCGATAATGGAATTACATTTCAAATATCTTGAAAAAGTAGAGGAAGTAGAAAAGAATGGAAGGTAGATATGCATAATCAGAACAATCAGAAATATATATCTAATAACTAAAAATTGAAAATTTTTATCTTCTTATTTATTACAAGGAGGATGAAGATGAAGAAGAATCTTATTTAAGAAGATTAGATGGCGGATTATTTATATTGCAATTAGTAGATTATGTGCTTTTAGAAGCTTGCACTGGCTGTCCACCTGCAGTCAAACAACGAGTAACAAGAATCTTAGCACAGAGAAGAGCATCTCTTAAAACAATACGACATATTATGAGAGGTCGATTGTGTATATCTTATTTAAAATTTCATAGATTAAATTATAAATCTGTACTAAAAAAAAATATTCATAATGTATATTTTTCATTTAAAAAACAGAATATGCTGGTAACTTAGGAGATGCTGGTGATACAGAATGGAAAGAAGCAGAGCAACAACATATCTTACAATTAATTGACAAATTTTGATATGTATATTGATGTCAAATATATCCTTATAAATCATAGTAAGATTTAATAACTTTATATTGTTATGTAATGTATAATATAATAAAAAACATAGTATAAGCACACACAAATGTGTAGATAGATGTCTAAACAATGCTATTAATTGAGGTTTAGCCAAAAATGATACAAATCTTTTCAAAATTCGAGCAAAATCAATTTTATGCATATTAAGTGTATGATGAAAATATATTTTACGTTTTGTTTCCATTAAAATAATATAAAAAAATTATAACAAACTTTGAAATACAAGTAAATACATTAACATAGTAGTATATATATATATTACAATTTAAAAAATATATATTTTTGCATTTGTATAATTCTCAATTTCTGCCTTTTTACGGGTTAATTTTTCCCGCCAAAATGAAAATGTTTTCGACGCCTCTTTCCTAAAGATGCGGCCTCATTGACGCTAAAAAGTAGCGTCAACCATGGTTGAACAATGAAGCAACTATACTTATCTCCTTGTTCAACCAATGGTTGACGCTACTTTTTAGCGTCAATGAGGCCGCACCTTAAAAGGTGCAATTTCATTGACGCTAAAAAGTAGCGTCAATGAAAAGGCCGCTTAAAGGGCCTGTTCTTTTTAGCTGCAGAGAGAAGACTGAGAGATGTCATGGCCAGCTTTTAGATGATCCCTAGAAGCGATACTTCCTCTATGGACATTAAAAACGAGGACATAAACTACAAAACAATGTCCACGAATGTTCTCAGAGGGTAACATATATGTCCCTCTGATAATATAAATAATATAAATAAAAATATAAATAGTTTAATTAATAATAATTTATTATATAAAAATATTAGTATGTCTCTCTTTTCACGCTATTATTTATATATATATTTATATTATATACTTATATTATATATTTATGAATCATTCGTAATTCAAATCATTAGCATAATATTACTATGAATTTTTTACGTTATATATTGAATCGAAATTACGCGAAAGAGGAAAAAAAGAACAAGCCTATGAATAGACATTTCCATCCTTTACTAAAAAAAAAAAAGAAATTAAAAATATCTCTCAATTTTTTCTCTCTTTCTTCGGGCAAGTCTACA